ACGACCCAGCCCATCCCGACCCACCCCGGCCAGTGGACCGACTGACCAACCGACCGACCCAACCAACCGACCTAACCCACACCCTACCCCTAACCCGACCCAATCCGACCCCAAAACACAACCCGACCGACCGACCGACCGGCCCCGAAAATTTAAAAGCTTGTTTGCTTCAATCTACCTCGACCAAATCAATCGGGAGCCCGTTCCGAACTGACTAATGTCCGTGGTAGCCCTCGACATACGGGAATCTGAAACACGATCAAACGCATTTGCCTGCTGTCGACCAACGTGTCTCTCGACTCGCCAAGTCGACGCGAATTCATTTTGTGATTGTCGACGGTTTCGGTAAAAGGGGACAGGCATACCGGTTCTGATCGCATCTGTTGTGCCCCCTTCCTTGGACCGGTTCTGGCAATCTGATCTGCCCATCATCCAGCAGAGAGGGAGAGAAGAATAAAGCCATCGCATCGCAGTGCCAAAGGGAGAGACACCCGTGGGCGGCACGGTAGGCAAGGATGCCTCTCACCATGAGGCCGATTCCGCATGCCCTGAATCTCGGAGACCCCGAGATCTATGGGCAAGGCCCGTCTGGGCAAGGGACACCTGGCACGCAGGTCCTGGAGGATGTCAACATGGCGAGCATGGTCGGCACACTGGCCCAGCTGGGGGTGCTTGCTACGGTAAGGGCGAGTGGATGCTCAACTACATAGTGGAGTCATAACACTACTGTCGTCTTCGCGTTTGGCGGTGGAAACCTGCAGCTGTGGAAACAGAAGGAGCTCCATCTCTGTCCGTGGTGTCCCCGTCCGTTCTGGATGATTCCGCCGTTCACTCGAATGCTCTCCCTTGTTCGTTCGCTGCATGGTGCAGGCGGTGCACGGCGATGATGCCACGCTGCAGTTGCCATCTTTCGATGCTTGTCGGAGTGATTGTAGGTGTCATCCACACGGCACCATTCTATCGTTTCGCTTTGTGGAGACTTCGCTCTTTTGCTTATGTTTATCCTGAAGGCCGAAGAAAAGAACGGGGGGAACCAGCAGTGTAGCCAATACCCCGAGATTGCGTCCTCGGAGATGCACTGCTGTACATGCTTCCTTATACCGCAGCAGCACCGTGCGAGTTGCCGCAATACAGCACAATAACGCCTGCCTCTTTTCATGCGTACCGCTAGATCGCACCTTAAACATACCACCAGAGCGTGGGAGGTCTACGTGTTTCAACCCAGCTTGACTTGCTATGCATATTAGTGTTGCTGTGTGACTGCTGTGCGCAGACGATGGATCCGGGTACAGGTCCACGTATCCTTATTATTAGGTCGAGAGCTACAGCAGTCTGCATCAGCAGTTGCGCTCCTCAGCAGACACTGGCTTTACTTGCCAGCTATGGTTTCATGCTTGGGTATCACATCCCAGCGAGACATGGAAGAGACGAGGAAGCTTTTTACAATATCTCACGTTCCACGTCCTCTTTGTTCTGTGCGCGCAACAGCTCTGCTGGTGTCGCCAACTTCAACATTCCTGCAACAGCCACCGGGCTTGATTCTGTGTGAGAACGGTGGCGGACGAAGGATGTTCCTTGGCGTGACTCTGTTCTGTCCCACTAAAATACTACTGAGAAGCGCCTTCCGAAGTTGGGAGCGTTCCGCACGCCATTATTAACACGTATATGCATGCCATCGTTTTTGCCGTGTTGCCCGTGACATGTCCCTGGTGACTCTTGTTCTTGCAGTACGCGCAGGACATGTTCGACGGGCTGTTTCAGACGGCGGACGACCTTTCGAAGAAGATCTCGGCCGCCTCCACGCGGTGCTCTAACCTGCTGCAGGTGCGTTCAGTACTTTCTGTGTTGTTTTTCGGCTTGGCATGTACATGTGAACTGCTGCTGTATTGCCCCTGGCGTCTTTCCTCCGCTGAGACTGCGTTTTTGTGAAGGTTTCGACAAGGCGATGTTCGTTGAGCCCCTCTACAACACTGCGCCATCTGGGGCCAATTAGGAACGCAGCTCAGAACTGTGTCTGCACAACTAGTTTTTGGGTGTAGAGACAGGAGGAGCAGGTTCCCCATGGTGATCGCAGCTCTTTTTGCGTCGGGGCCGGTATGTCAACAGGCTCTGCCGGAAGCGGAGAAACGGACAGCGGAGGCAATCGGAAGCGGAACTGGAATCGACGACAACGCGGCTGTCGAGGCAATCAAGGCGGAGCGACAGCATGCCAAACAGGTGAGATCGACCCCTCTCGTTTCTTGCTGTAGATTTCTGCCGTGCGCATTGATTAACCAACGCATGCGTGCTTTGCCCTGTGATCGTCTCGCTTGTATTCTTCACGTCTTTTGACGACTAGTTCGTACAATTAGCGGGGGGGGGCGTCGTGGTGCACGTCGTGTGATATCACACCACGCCCGACAGCTTTCGCACCACATAGCCCTTCTGACTGGGTTCCACTTCCCCTCCATGTGCATGAACCTGTATGCTGCGCGATGCCATGAACATGTTGGGACGTTAGGCCGAGAGTGAGGCAGCCTCGAAGGTTTTTCACCCTGAGGCAATGCCACGGTGGCTGGTCGAAAGATACCACAGCCCGGAGGTGAGTTTTTTTGTTTTTTTTGGAAGACAAGGTCAAACGAGCTTCTTCCAATGCAGCCAGTGGTGGTAGTCAACGAGAGATCACACAGCAGCCGCCGACATTGTTTAGTATGGCCAATGATCTGGAGCTACAGCAGTTGCACCCGCGAGCAGTGTCGCCTGACAAGCCGGTACCCGACCATCTTGAAACTCTCCCGCAGGTGGCGCGGGTGCCTGACCTCCACCTCATCGACGCAGTCTTGTCGCACGAAGAAAAGAGTCTCTTGACGAAGGACGGACTGGATAGCTGTGCGTTGAGGTGAGGGTTGGTGGACGTCTGGACCCGCAGGAATTTGGGCCGTGACCTATTTAGTTTTGCGAACATCCAGCACACGGCATCAGGATGGGCGGACGGCCGTAGCCACGTGTGCGGGGGGAAACATCGCGCTAGTCAGCCGACGACAAAGACAACCAACCACCTGGAACCTCTGGCTGTGCGGCGGGGCTGGCTGAGGGCGAGGGTCTCTGAACGCGGAAGAATATCTGTAGGGAGGGTGCAGGACGAAGAGGACGAGTTCCAATTGATGCAGCCGAGTTATTTTCCGCTCTCGCCGAAAAAATTGGTTGAGCAGCTCGTTCGGCGGTTGAGATCATCAGGCCGCATCAGCGATCTAGGGAGGTTTGCAAGCTGTCGTCATTGTTTGCGTTCGTTCCTTGGTTTACAAACCGACAAAATTCAAACACGCAGAAATATAGCTCCATCTCTTGCCCTATCCTATGACCCTCTCGCTGCCCGCATCCTTTCGGTACGGGCCGTTGACGGGCGTGTAATTGTGGACCCGGCGGGAGATGTAGCGTGCCCCTCAGGCCAAGCAGTCCGCTCCATCGGTCCCCGCCATCCGGGCGGATAAGTATTAAGCCGCCCATCGGCCCGAAACTCCCGCCCGTGCTTCCTCGTGTACACTGATCGTCGACAGATATTCCAACCCTCAGTTCTTTTACCAGGAGTGGTATCGGTTGGAGCTCGAGCGCCAGGTGAGCTAGCTACCCTTGTGTTCCTCTGTCCAACACTCGCCTCCTTGCCATGTAGATGTTCGGCATTCGTTTGTCTTCGCAGCACCGTGGTTCTGCATGAACGACAGTTTGTCATTCTCCGGATCTTGGTTTTATTTTATATTGGGATTGAGAGCGTCGATATTGCTTGAGGTAAAGCACCAATGCACACGCGTTTTTTTTGTCGCCGCAATGCGTCTCTTGTGCTGCTGCTGCTGCTCCTACGCACCCGCGCGTAGGAGAAATCTGTACGCGAGAAGAAGCAGAAGAAGGAGGAGCGGAAACGGCGCAAGGCGGCGGCAAAGGCGGCCGGGGCCAGCGCCGGAGTGGAGAAAGACGAAGAGAGGGCGCGCGCCCCGCGCCCCGCTCGGAAGTCTCTGGGGGACTGGAGGGGCAAGCTTGCCGTCGGCGCGGCCGGGCTGGGCATCGGCTCCGGGGGGGGCGGTGTTTCCAGGGGGGCGAGCACGAGAGGCGCCGGAGACGTGTCTTCGTTGGTGGGGCAAGATAAGGTGGTGGTGCAAAAGCGCGAGGCGTACAGCGACAAGTTCTACAGAAAGGTGCGCGCAGCCCGTGGTGTTGGTTAGCTAGATGCCAGTGTGACGTACAGGAATACCGTATACGACACAAGATAACACACACACCCCGGACCGGTTTTCAAAGCTTGGTTTCTCAACAGCAGAAAGACTCACAGCGCCGAAAACGGCGGCGTTGAAGCCGTCTTGTCGAGAGCTTTCCGAAAACGTATCGTTTCGTTTGTGCGGCCTCTGTGTCGTGGAGTAACTGGGCTTTGAAAATCAGTCCGCGGGGTGTGTTATCTTGTGTCGAATACGGTAGTGGGTGCATGGCGGCGCGCTGGCTCGATCCAGTCTGGGGGATTGTCCGCCGGTTAGAACCACCGCCCTGCTTACCCGCAGCGTCCCGGGAAACTTGCAGGCTTTTTTGTTCTTGAGGTCGAAAGACCGGTCTGTTGGCAAGCATCGGCCTGCAAGCTTTCCTCTGTCTTGTCTGAACACAGCAACGTGCATGCTGAAAAATTTGGCAGCCCTGTTAGCTCCTTGCTTGTGCTGATCTATCGAATCGGTGGGCGGTTGTCCCTCAACACAGGAAGAAGAAGAAGCGGACACCAGCTACCAAATCGCCCCATCGGATGCAGGCGCCGCTGTACCAAGCGGAGGGCAGCAGCTTCAGCAGCTCGGGGCTTTGACGCCCGAAGATTTCAACCGAAAGTTGGGATCTGCATCCGAGGGCGGCAGGTGGGGAGTGCCTTCGTCGTTGACGAATTGACGTAAGGGTCTCCGGATTGCACATCGGAGAAACCTTGATCGGGCAGATAGTGTGGTCGACGAGAGAGGGGGGGGGGGGGGGGGCTCCTGTGTCCCCCCTCATACCTGGGTTTCCACAGAGGTTCAACTTTTTAACTGGCGTCGCGGGAGGGGACCCTTGAGAAGCCTGCAGTGTGGCCCAGTTTCGGGCATTGTCTGCCGTTAAACGAAAACTTTGTGGAGAGGAGAGGGTATAGTTCTGCACAAGGCAGTCACGTTCCTGAGTTCCTGCGAGTCATATCTGCCATCAGAGCCTATATATACACGCGCTTGAACGTCACGTACCGCACAAAGTTGATGTACGATCGTATTACACCAATTCTTGAATGAACGGAGGTAGACTTTGCAACGAGTCCGTCATCAGCAACTCTGCTCCCTGCATGCTGTTACGAGAAACGGGATCGTGTTCCGCGACGAAGGGCCGTGGTGAGCGGCGCATTCTGTAACGCGCCCAACAATTCTGAGCTTCCGGGGGGTGGGGGAGGTAGGGCGATGTTTCCATCGGAAGGACGTGTCGATGCACACAGCAATAGCGTGGCTATGCCCAAACCCTAGTCATAATCGTGTGTTTGCCGTCATCCAACTTTGCGTGTGTAGAGTTCGCGACTGCCTGCCACGGGCAAGCGTAGTTTCAAGCGCGCCCCCCACCCCCCCACCCCCCCCATGTTTTCCCGCTGACATGTGATGACGCAGGCTGCTGTTCAAGCCGCCATCAGCGCGAGGAGGCGAATCGGGCGGCGCTGGACTGTCCACGAGCCCCCCGCCACCTCCGCCGCAGCAAAGACCTCCGCCACCTCAGGCTCCAGCCGCGCGACCGGGATCATCGGCGAGCGCCCCGCTGCCACCCCCGCCCCCTACTTCTGCTCGGCCGCCAGCCCTACCCCAACCGCCCCAAGGGGGACAATCCACGGCCACGGTTGCTGGTGGTCCTAGTGCGTACGGGGCCCCGCCGGTGCGTCCACCACCGCCGACTGCAAGGCCCCCGCCTCCCCGGCCGGCCCCGCCCCCGCCGCCGCCGCCGCCAACTCAACCGTATGCACCTCGCCCTTCGTATCAGGAGCCGATCGTGACGCCCACGCTCGAATCAGAGGCTATGATGGAGGAAACACACGCTCGTCGTCCGAGCTACGAAAGCTGGGGGATACCCCCAGAGCCGGCACAAAATTTCGAGCACGGCGGTGCCCCTGCCGTGGCGCCTCCAGCACCACCGGCTCCTCCCCCGCCAGCCCAGGTATAGTGCTGCGGGTCACCTCGGGTTGTTCGTTCTCGCCTCCCACGGCAGTGCAGCAGTTTGGCGAAAGCGTGGAGATTCATGTGCTGAACGAGGCCTACCTGGTCGTGCGACGTGAACTGTAGAGAGAGCTGCCGGTGCCTTGTTTGCAGGCGACGCAAAGAACAGCACCGTGGTCTTGATGCAGGCTGATACAACAGCCCTTCCTCGTGTGTTGTGCACAGATTATGTCTACGCCCTCCGAGCCGCCGCCGCCCCCGCCGCCCCCGCCCGTGGCGCCGCCGTCACGTCCACCTGTCGCTCCTCCGGTGAGTGCGACGGGCTTAATAAGCCTGGGGTCCAGGTTTGTTGCTCGGCATCCGTGCCATTACTGAAAAGAGGAAATGCTCAAGACACCCAAGCGAACGCGTCACCGCGGGTAACTTTTCCAGTGTAGGCTTCGAATTCCCATGGAATTGCAACAGATTTTGTTATCTCTCTCTCCGTTCCGCTTGCTTCTGACCAGGAACATTTTCCGTTTGCAAATGGCATATGCCCTTCTGCCCGCGTATCCGCACCCAGCTCCCTCCGGTACAGGAGGCTTCGCAGTTTGGCCAGCCGCCGCTCCCGCCGCCGATGCCTCCGGCGATGCCGTCGATGGGGCACGCTCCCCCGCCCCCCCCGCTTCCGGCGGCACCACCTGGTAGTGGCGGTGCTTCGATGCGCGGGGACCTGTTGGCCAGCATCACGAACGGGAAGAAGTTGAAGAAGGTCGAGAGGCCTGCGCCTGTTGCTGGCGGCGGGGGAGGCGGCGGGGGTAACGAGCTACTGGCCGCCATCAGGTATCTACGTGTGGCGAGGGAAACCACACGTGTGCGAGCTCTCGTTGTTCTTGTCCACATTTTTTTTTTCATTATGCGAACCGGGAGCCGGAGCGAGCGTTCTGTTGAAAATCCTCACACCCTGCTGAAGGTTTTTTAATTGTTTACAAATGTATCCTCAATATTATTTAAGTAGTTGTGGCCTCCATCGGCGATGCGCTTTGCAGGGATGGCGCTAAGCTCAAGAAGGTGGAACAACCGGCAGCCCCTGCTGTCGAGACAAGCAACCCTCTCTTCGGCGGCAACCCAGGCATCAACGAAATCCTCGCAAGGTAACTACGACTTCTCCGTAGAAATCCACGTGCCTCTCGTGCTGGCTGTTTCGGGCTCATCCGTTGCACTCCCCCCCCCCCCCCCCCCGGCAAACTCTGGGTTGTGTAGCGTTGTGTGAATGCAAGTCAATTGTCTGTCTGCGGGACGTCTGATGCGCAGCGTTGGTGTGTTGTCGTCTTTTGGCAGAGGGCCGACAGCAGTGATTTCGCCCTGTTTGTTGACTGCCAGTGTTCACCACCAACGTGTCTCTCGGTCTTGTGCGTTTTGATCCCGGTGTGCGACAGGCGGAAGTACTTGGAAGCAGAGAGTGAAGACTCGGACAGCGATGACGACTCCGACTGGGACGATGGTTAAGGGCATGCACCCCGAGATTGGTTGCGAATGAATCTTGAACTGAGTCCACACGCCCCGACTTAGGTCCCTTTCGCGAGAATCGTGCGTGATGGCCGGCAATGTGCTGACACTATTATTGTGTCGAGGTTAGCTAGGTTGCGAAGAGGCGAGTAGAAACAGGTGTTCTCTGTGTTAAATTGGGAGGTTCCTTGACTGGCTAGCTTAAGTCTAAACGCAGTACAAGAACTCTCGGTTGGTAGGGGAGAAGAAACGTGGAGATGTAAGGCACAAACGTTAGGGTGGGGCCGTATCGATCGCCTCATTTAACCCCCCACGTTTTTTTCAAGTGTGGAGACGGCAAATCAAGCAAGAGGTTAATGTTGACAATGTTGACAATATTGCTCAAGAGTCACTTCTTCTCGCCTCTGTTTTTCGAAATTGCAAAAGTGTCATTGGAGATATAGGTTGAAATAACCACCGTTGAAAGCGCTTGTCGCAACTCGGCTCGTCTCTTGTGAACCTGGCGAGCTTGGCTTCTCGATGCCATCGCCGAGTGCGCCTCTTTTCCATGTTCTCGATCATCTAGGGATGGTGCTGTTTGGAAACCGAAGCTTGTTCCAATCTGAAAAGGATCGTTTTCTGCTCCGGAAACCAAAGAATGTTTTTTGACCGCGATATGCTGTCCGTGATATTCTGTCCGCGATATTTTGACCGCGCTCGATTTCTCTGAGCTCGCGAAGCTACGCGCGACCTAGACCTCTAGCCTACTTGTGTCGAAAGTGATTTCTAATCGAACGAGACCGCTGCAAAACGAAAGCTTTGTCTCTTGCTTCTGCCCACATCAGCATCCTGCTGACGTCTTTGTAGTAATTTGTTTTCCTCTTCTTCGCCGAAGCTGAATTCTCTGAGCTCAACAAAGCTACAGACGCGGCCCCGCCTCCGCACACAAGAGCCCCCGCCAACGCACCGAGCGTTTCACCTCGCATCGCAGGGAAAGCGGCGGAAAAGTACCAGAAACCACCTCCGAGGGTAAAAGTCCTTGCATTTTTTTGTCACGACGTGCTCCACAACCGAGCAAGATACAGCCCCGTGCTAGCCGCGGCTCGATGCGCTAGGACAGACAAGACGTGCTCTGCAAGCTTCGGGAACGCTGTTGGCGGGCAAAGTGAGCACCCCACCAAACGGCGATTCGACCAAAACCGGGTGTTATTCCGCCGCCCGGAAGACGAAACCATTTTTTCCCGCGAGACAACTAGCCTGCCCAACAACGTCCACCAAACTTTTGAGAACCAACGACGACCCAGTCGACAAAACTGCGTGCCCAAGTTGCAAAGCCGTCCGACCGGCACGCCGCGTGCAACAGCATTTCGCCACCCAGCGGCCGACCTCGCCTGCCAGGAACAAGCAGACCGCAATTTCTCAACATGTACTGAACCCCTCGACACAAATCTTACATCGATGTGGAGGTAGAACTACACTGTGCTCGATGCCGATGTCACATCAGATCACGACGCACAAGCAAGGTTTGTCTGGGGGGAGACGCAAACTGCAAGGTATGGCCCATGGGGGTGTATATTTCCGGTCACCCTCTCCCTCAAGCCGCTGCTGCCTGTGTGGTTTCTTGCAGCACCCGCATAGGTCCTTCGGAAAACGCTCCAACGGGCCTTTCGACATCATTTCGCTGCCAATTGGCAAAGTACCGCGGAAACGTTGAAAGCATGGTACCGTCATGATTTGACGTCTGCTACGAGCAGGGCAGATAACCCACCCGCTTTTGCGCCTGTCTCTGCTCCTCCGAAGTCGGACATCGCGAGTTAAATTTTCCTCCTGAGAAGTTATGGAGACAATAACAGAAACCCAAGCCTCCGTTTCCAGAAAAAAAAAGCGCTCTTGTCCCAGCCTACTCGCCGGGTCTTGGCACTCTCTTGATCTCGAAGTCCTCGTTGAAATCTTTCATGATATTTCGATGTTCCTGGAAAGGATAAAAAAATGCGGAAACAGCGCAAACGGGGTAAGCAACTCATGTCTTTTCCCTCTGATTCGTGAAAAGCATTGCTAGTGGTCAGTATAGAAATTTGTTTCTAGTTGGTGCGATTGCGGCCAAACCGGTTTATACGACACAACGTCATTGTTCTGTTCTGGCGCACACCCGGTATAGCCGAGGCATGCCGTGCGAAGCTTCGTTTCGAGCCCACGGTACGCTGTGTGTGTGTGGATGAACCATACGACTGCTGAAGCTCACGCGGGTGCTGCACCCATGTGTGCTATGTACGGAACTATGTATACCCAAAACCAAAGAAGAGAGATGGAGGATATCGAGAGGACGATACTTGCCGGGCATGACGGCACTGTCTACTGCAATTGGCACTTTGCCCCGCACATACTGCTGCGGACAACTCTCTACGAACATGGTATCACGTGTCCTACTACGCAGAAACTCCTTGAGCCGAAAGTTGAGTGCGTCACAATCGAACCACCATCAGATCGTGGCGTGATATTCAAGGTAACACCGTGCGTGGTGCGGGATTTGGTTTAACCCTGAGTTTTCGAAAAACAATGGCACCAAGTAGGTATGTTGCGTTTGTCGGAACAAGTCGGAACAACAACAGTAGACTCTAATTTATCTACACAACCATCAACCATGCATCAGAACATACTACCGGATCAATCTCTCCAAACACTGATGTACACAGCGTCCCCAGCCGCCGAAACGGATTCTACGACAACACACGGCGTAGTTCAAATACTTGTGGAGCTCTGGGCTACGACAGACGGCAAAACTTACCTAGGTCTTAGTGAATACCGCTTATGTTAAAAAGAAGGGCTCGAACGCGCTCGCTGCTACCAGACGGCTACCACTCTGAAGGATGGCCGCGTTGGCGACAGCCGCAGTTCTACACCAGCTATATGTGACGGCTACAATCTGAAGGGGGCGTACGGGCAAAAGGATCCACGGCCGTACGCATAGCGTTTTGAGACATTTTATTCGGAGAATCGCCTCAACCTTGTGGTTTGGACTGAATAAGGTGAAATCTGCAGATCACTGGAGATGTCCCGTTGGGGAGCTACCAACCGTTTGCGCCTCACGGAAAAAACGGGAGAGCCACGAGCAACAGACAGGTAGTAGGACCGTGCTATGCTAGAAAGTACACTCATTCGACCAGTCAACATCCCACCTCTTCGATGTCAAACTCCCTCAAGCTTTTGCTCCGTTTGCGTACGTCCTTCACGTGCACTTGCCCCGAAACAAACTGCAGATCGAAGGCACGCAGGCAGACGGGTGTTTCGACTCACTACGATAGTGAACATTGTCACCAGAAGCAAGACAATGCACATTGTCACCAGAAGCAAGATAATGCGAGGAAGAGGACATCATCTACCTTCTACACGCACAGCAGTGGCAGCAGGAGCTGTTCCTCAATGGCAGCTCCACGGAATACCTTCCAGATCAGCTACGGTACAGGTCGTCCGTGTAGCTGGAACCTAGGCACTCTAGGAAGAAGGGGGTGCGATTGACTGCTGTTGCTTTGGGTTGTCCACTCGTGATGGTGAATTGCGAAGGTGATTCGAACGTACCACTGCCAAGTGGCTTAATATCTACACACGAAGAGCCAGCTGTGCAGCCTTGACCCTGGGGGGGGCAGCTCTGCGCACCTGTGACCCACCTCTGAAAGCATGTATGAACCCCCAACGATGAACGTCACGAACGGTAGGCCGGCCGTCAAGAACGACTTTACTCCCCGATTTGAGGCCATCAAATCCACAGCGAACCTTCACTCTCTCTTGCGCGCGTGGTGCTTTGGACGTAGCGGTGTGCTGTGAAACCAGCAATCGCACTATGTTGACCGCGGATGGCTCGCGATAGGCTGAAATTTGACAGTCCTTTTTGCGGAGGAATTTGTAACCGCCCGCCCGCCCGCGTAATATTCTGGATCCTGATACATTGTATGCTGATCCTGGTAATCTATCGGAAGGGAGAGAGAGAGAGAGACAGAGAGAGAGAGAGAGAGAGAGAGAGAGAGAGAGAGAGAGAGAGAGAGAGAGAGAGAGAGAAAGAGAGAGAGAGACTAAGACAGTTCTGTCTTGGGAAGACCGCTCCGTCTTGGGAGAGAGAGTTATCTTGTGCCTTGACGAGTGCCAGGGCTGACGCTCAACACCAGCGCTGTGTACCCTATCTGGCATCATATGCAGCATCAGCCCACACTTGATACCGCAGCTGTCACAGGCTTTACTGCAGTGGAATATCTGACTTCCGACGTTTGCACATGCAGGGATGGACAATGTCCGGTGTTACTACTGTAGCGCTCGTGCCCTTGTTTATCATCGTTGAGGTCGGTGGGATATCCAGCGAGTTATTTGGCGGAGGGACGGCCAAAGTATCTATGTGCAAGGACTTTTGTAATCAGCAAGCACCCAGCGCTGAAGGGGCATGCAAAAGTTTCATTCGGGCCATACCTCGGCCGAAAATGGGGCGGACATGCACGAGGAAGTTTCGAGAGGCCTTCGAAGTCTACTGTCCTTTGCTATGGTGAGGCCGCCTCGTGTATTTTTTCTCGAACTACTGTGATGCTGATGACGCTATTGTCACACCTACCGTTCGTTGGTCATTATCCCACAAGTACATTACGTCTAAAGTTCTAACATTTTCGCCTGAATTACGCTTGCGCCCAAAATTTCAGGTACGTCCATCACACGCTGCAACAGATTTGCAACCTCAAGTATTATCACCCGCCGGTTTAGTTTTTTCAGATGGCGGTCGGTCCTCCAAAATGGCTACCAGTATAAGTCTAAATAGTTACCATTTTGCCGGCCGCCACCTTCTCGAGGTACAACAACAGCATATGTTCCGTGCTGTGTTCGCAACGGGTACCGAACTTTAATACCCCCCCCACTGCCTTTCGACCGTTTATCCTACAATAGTCTTGCCGGAGGCGAGGAGGGTCACCTGTCTCCTAGGATTGAACGTCTGACACAGAGCTCGTGTCAGGATATGTCGAGCCACATACCTTACCCTGCGGTCTTCAACTCGTGCAAGACGGGGTACAGGTAAGCAGGGAGCGGACGTGCAAAGAATGGATGCGAGTTTCTCGTCGTTGTTTCTACATGCACTACATCGTGGTTTCGCAAGCAGGCATAACTAACAACATGAAGAGAATTATATCCTTCATCTCACACAACGTTTCAAGCGTGGTGACTGTTCTCAGTCCTGATCCTTGATAATCTTGCAAGCTTCAGAGTTCCTCCGACGCCCACGAAGCATGTTCACTGGTCCATGTCACCTGTAACAAGAACTACGCTTATGACCATTCAAGATAGGGTGTTCCACCTTCGCTTGTGCTATGGGCGCCCTCTTGGCAAGTTGGTGGCATGTCTCCCCGAGCATGGCAACATCCCAAACTACCCACAATCATCTCAGGAACGGTTTCAATGCCGCAAGAACAGCAGTTTCGAAGCTATTCGGGGAACGGGGAAGACTGGGCACCATCGACGGAAATGTCCGTGCGCCCTCGGAACAGCCAAATAACCCAGAGAGTGGCGCGGAATATCCGGGATATCACGAGGTGGAAATGGCCGAGCTGAGCGTTGACACCACCTCATCAAGGACTGCAGAACTGGACGCACAGTCTCGTTCCACAGAAAGCGCGTGGACCCCTGAAGAAGACTTCGAGAATTGGATAGAATCGTTCGACACCAGTCCGGAATATGTTGACTATGCGACCGTTGCGCAAGAACGTGTCAGCGCCGCACGTCGAACACGAGCTTCTGATTTGAAACGAGGCCCTGCGTGCCCAGTTTGTAGCGGCTAGGCCATTTTCTAGAGTCACAGGGCAGGTATTGTTGGTTTGAATCGTGCATCTGGCAAACGCTCTGTTGTTGGCAAATAATTCTGGACGGGACACAACGTTGTTGTGTTGCCCTTCGGCCGACAAATCTAACAACCAGGGTCCGGCATGAATCTAACCACCTGCAGTAATTTTCGAAGCAACGAAAGCGCACGACCAAGCTCGAGAACCATGCCTCGTTCAACGAATCGGCAAGGCCTTATTCTCGGAAGTGTTCAGCATGTGCAGTTGGAGATAGCCCTTTGGCTTTGGATTCCCCATCAGGAGCCCAATCTCCCGCTCTTGGCTGACTCTTGGCGGTCGGGGAACCTATGGGGACGACGTACGATGAAAATCGGAGATTAAGTCGACCTTTCCCATTTATCTCGATGGCATTCGAATGTTGCTGCATCGCTACATCCAACACCAACGCACCTTCCGCTTCGGCAAGGCGTCCCGTATATACCGAAATCGAATCTCCTTCTTTGCCCGCTTCCTCCAGACGTATAGCACGCGCCGCACACGCTGCCCAATCATGGGCAGCCGCAGCAAAAGAAGTGAGGAGCACCCTGCCACGCTCTCCCAGTCTCGTGCCGTTGCTGCCTCAGTCGTTCGAAGGCATAGCATTTCTCGTGATCCTACGGCGAGCTCCTCCTTTTGTTGAGTCGCCTTGCTGTTCGTGGCTCCTTCGTTGTACGTACATGGACGTATCCCACCCCAATGCGCCCGTAGTCCCAGTGGGTATACTCTGTTTCTCCAGGTACTGAACATTGCCTCCACCACCCGATGGTTTCTGTGAGTCTTGGCTTGTAAACGACGCTGTCGCCAAGTTTCGGATGACTTGACCCAAGAACGGAGACCTCGCAGTCCAGATCGGAGGCGAAATGCCCTAACCTGCAGCATTCCACATATTGGGGGTGGTCTCGGGGTGGTGTGGCCTTGTACAAACGTGTATGGTAGAAAAAATCAAACCCTAAATTCACCTGGGTGTCGTCGCCCTTACCGGTACCCACCAGCTTTTTGCGTACATGTAGAGTAGTTTATGTACACATGCACTAAATTTCGCAGTTATCGTGGGTGCGCACATTCTGACATCCTTCGTGACCTTATCAGCATCATTACACCCCGGTCCAATACATACGGACGGCTTCGGGGCTCTCGTTGCTTCGCCCGCGTTTGCCTAGGCATTGACTTCAACGAAGAGACCCAGCTTCATGCACCCCCCTATAACGCTATTTCTACTCGTCGACACTCACACCTGCTTGCTTGCCCGAGCTGTGCTTTCCGTGCGAGAAAACCAAGCTCTCAACACTCGTCTTTCGAGGTTTCTAGCCCGGGCGTGGGTTCTCAGGACCTGGAAAACGTACCCATCGAGGGTCGAGCAGCGGCTCTGTGCAGCTTGTCTCGTCTGTTTGCGGTAGCGCACGATTCGGACAGAGGTTTGGATGCCTGCAAAGGCCCGAGCATGGCTTCGCCATGTTTTTAACGTGTTTCTGGCACGGTGCGCTTCTGCCCAGACTCCAGCTCGCCACATCGAGAGGCGGGCAAGCCTTCGGTTTTCCATCCAACGTCGAAACTTCAGAAAGCCAACACGCTGTCCCCGTTGCCCCTACACACATGAGTTCGTTCATCCGGAAACAGCAAGCGGAACAGGTGGAAGAGGCACCGGGTAGGGGGTCAATGAATCCGTAATGAGGACCATCGACGAGGCGCTCGCTCGTCGCCTCTATGACCTTTGGGGTGCTAGAACTGTAGCACACCCCAACTGCATTTACAACGGCAAGACAAAACCATGCGGGAAAAAAGGCAGCGATCGACTTGATCAGGAAATGCCGTTGAAAAGTGGCACCTGAAAACGTGTGATGGTATTGCTGACACGAGTGACATGGGCCACGCGTCTTCGCCAAAACGATAGCCCTGCTGAAAGAGTCTGGCCGCGGAAATGACGGCAACCGGATTGTCGCAGGTCGTGCTGGTCTCCGAATCGGGTGGTCGTCCTTCGCCAGCAGGAAATGGTGGCGGATATGCATCTATCCCGACGAAACATCTTTGCCCTGTAGGCGGCACGGGATTCCTGTGTAGCCCAACATGCGACGAATAGACCCCGGCAGGGTTTGGGTGTTTAACGCTTGAACGCCGACCAAGCTCTTTTGAAAACAGGCCACTTAAACGTAAGATTGAGTTGGTTGACCGATAAATCTAGAGGCCTACCCCGTCTGATCAGAACTTCTACGTCAGATCTTCCCGATTGTGCAATTCAGCCCACCGACCCACATATCGCTCTATTGGCTACATTTCCCGCACACTCGCGCACGACGTTGATCGAGAAGAACGACGACGGGAGATACAATCTCGGGTTTGGTGTCTACTTTATATGGACGCCACCCCTTGAAAGATTGTGCCCCAAAAACGGACAACAAAGTCCTTAATAGTATTTCTAAAGTAGCTCGTTGTGCATGTGCGAGTGTGTGCTCTATACAAACAGGGTTCTGAGGCGTCATGTGTGCTGGATTTGAACGACTGCGCGTAGCATCGATGCACAGGTCCAGGTCCAGCTTGTGGGTTTACCTGTTTCAAAGCGCTGAAATTTGCTAGGCCTTGCCGCAAGAACCGCGCACGACGCATCTTGTAGGCAGCGTCGTTGCTTCGCTGCTGCCGCTGGATGGAAGCCGATCGAGCATCCCATCGTCTAAGGACCCCCCAAAGGCGAGCACGTCTGTTCGGATAGGCATGCAATGTCAGAGTTACCAACTATACCATGGCCAGACAACCACAGCTGTTTGGGTCTTCACAAAACATTTTGCGGAACATGCCGCTTGGAAATACGGATGTTGTCCCACGGTCTGCGACATCCAGTACCAGAATGTGACACGCATCGTGTTAGATCAAATAAGATCTCAACTCTGCACGTTTCCTCACCTAAACTTTACGGCCTCTGACGCCAATGCCCTCGTGTTCCTTCTGCGAACAACATGTTGCTTCAGCCTTTTCACGCTTAAACTTAGCGCGCGTTGCCTTGTCCTCTCGGACACAGCTGCGGAGCAAGGCGAAGTGCCATACATTGTGGCGTAAACAGCGTGCATGTTGACATGACAATTCAGTGACGTTGGCAGTCTCAAGGTCAAAAACTCTACCGTGGCTCGGCCAGATCTTGGGCACCATTTCCCATTTGAGAAGGATCGCTATTAGTGCAACACCCCAGAGGCTTGGACAGTGCACACGTTCTTAAACAATCTGTTACTGCCCAAGAAAGAAATTCGATTCCAACATGTATGGTGGATAAACTCGGTCATTGGTCCCCCATTCGGTTGAAAATGGTATTTTGGTATAATGAAGGGCTGTAATGTCTGGGGATGTGCAGCAGGCTGTAGAGCGTTCGCGTTGAACGGGCAGCAGGCTGTAGAGCGTTCGCGTTGAACGGGCAACGGATCCCAGCATGTGTACTTCACATTTCGCTGAGAGCTGTATGTAGCCAACCCGTCGCGCGTCCAACCGCATGTTCTCCGAACATCTTCATTCTACGATCTTTCTCGTCAAGATGTTTCTTTGTAACGGTCTGTTTTCACCACATTAGCATGTAAGTGTTGTGCGAACCTCACTCACTTGTTTCGCTGACCCATATCTTCATGCTTGTTCGCTGTTTCGCTTTTAGCACGCTGTGCTGCCATAGTTCGATGGCCACCTTCTGGCTGTGTCCAACCACCCACCTGCAAGGTGTTCGCGCCAACGAGCCGACAACAAAAGCAAAAAAAAGGTGCTTTTTACAGCACAACGACGGGCGATTGGGCGGCTTGCCCGAAATATCGTACAACCATCTGGAACGCGTGTGCCTGCAGTGATTGAACACCACCACGAGACCTCTCAGGCTACCTCAACACGCGTCTGTTTTATTTGCTTTTAGGAACCAGCTGCCTGCACACCAAAGGGCTTCAAGGAGAGGAACCCTTCTTTGTGACCACGGATTAGAGTTCTTACTCGAAAAATAAGAAGAAAAAGAAGAAAAAAGTCTCAGTGTTTACCCCCCTCCTGTGTGACCCTGGATGGTAGTAGTTGTACGACAAAATACACTGAAAAGTGTAGTGCACGTCTCGCCACGAAAAATGGGGGGACTGTCGCCATGGAGGACGAAAACACACACAAACACGCCAGGAATGCTGGGAGCGCTGACTCGGAGGAAGGACAGAAATATAAAATACACTGCTGCTGTTACCGGTGTATGCTCCTGCGCAATTTTCGTGTACGATCATGGTCTTTCGCGCGTGCCGCAGCAGATTGGGCGCATCTCCGGTTGTCGAGGAAAGTCATGAATCCTTGTCTCAGACCCACCCTGCAGGTTGTTCAAATCAAATGCGGCGTGGGTATGCCAAACGTGAGGTAGGCGGTCAAGCTGGCCTAGTTTTTTTTCGTGTCCTAACCCAATCCGTGGTTGTATATTATGGCACGCAATGGTCGTCCGTCTCCATGGTGCGCGGCCAGCTTCTCCAGCCGATATCTTCGTGATGCCGAAAACACACGAAGGGTGATCGAATTCTGAAGACCAAACAGATCACTAAGGACGAGTAGGTAAATAGCGCACCTCAGCAATCGATACCGTAGTCTTTCTGCGGCCCTTGCTTCGTGGGCTAAGCTTCGCATGACCCCTACTGCTTTTCGCACAGGTCCGATCACTGCCCACGCGTGCAATAGTCTTGCCAATGCTGATGCACGTGCCCTGCTCCGCCATCGCTTCAGGACACTAGCAATTGCTTTCGCCTCTTGGCTCGCGGAAACCTCTCGTTTTGCTTCTTCCAGCAACAACGATTGCTTGGTGGCTGCTGCCCATGAGTGGAACACGGCTTTGGCCTGAATGTCGAAAGCAAGCTTTCGCCAACGGCACCATGCACACCGGAGCCGTCGTTTGGAAAGACGACGAAAAGCCCTGAAGACTCTTTTCAGATGCCGTTTGCGACGCCTCCTCACACACATTTCTCTGAAGCGGTGTAATTCCCGGGAAAGTCTACGACAGTACGGGCATGGGAAAGGAGTACAGACAGGTTGTTTTCCACGACCAGAGGATAACCATATTGGACTATAATACTATCGAGAGGAAGGCACATGTGTATGTTTTCCACACGGGGCAGGACCTGGTACCTACATCGAGGACGAATATCATACGCGAGGGTTGCCCGTACAAGAGGTTTCTTGTTGATAATGGGCTTGTACAGCAAGTATGTGTACAGCAGTCAGTGTACTCTAGCGGTCGTGTCTAGACTCTAGACTACAAGTACGGCATCGATGATATGTCAAAATACACGACACCAAACACACATCGAAGTACCACTTGTTGCGGGAAACCAGGCGACACTGCAAACCACCCGCCAAGAGAACCCACGGGCTTCATGCGATGTATGTCCATGTCCCACAAGGATTGAAGACAATTGCTACAAGTAGACCATTGCATCTACGAGGGGCCTCGCCGATCCTTTCACCTTTTGGCCTCCGCCAACGCCTCTCGTGCTGCCCGTTCCGCATCCATGCCGCGGTTCCTTTGAAGCCAGGCACTCCACACGACCAACGCCTTTGTGAGGGTACAACGATTTCGTGCTGCCCGCCAGGCCCGATCTCGAGCCTTCGCCTCAAGCTCGTGCCTCCAGCACGCAAAGATCTTCGACAAAATCTTGGTGTGGTTGTTGCTTTTTTTATGGCAGTCACCAGTTTCGAGGCCTCGTGAAGGGCCCTGCCCGCCGTGTTCCAAACAATTGCGCACGGCTGCGATTTTCGCCAGCTGGCTGTCGATCATTGCGCTTTCCACCAGCATGGCTGGCATGGCTGGCACACGTATGCACGCGAGCACACATGTATTGTCCGAGAGGCAAACCCGGAAGGACAAACTCCGTCGTGCTTGTCGTGTCCCCGTCGCGCCTGAAATCTTCGGAGATGGGCCGTAAAAAAATAGAAAGAGGCATTTTTATGTTGAGCTGACAGCAGGACTGTAAAAGAGCATCTTGCTTGCTCGCCTCCCCCTTTGTGTATTGTCGTGCTGTCGCATTGTCCCGTGACCTTACACACCCACGCACACGCACACCATGTCCTCGCGCTTGGCCCTGCTGGAGAGGTTCGTAGAAGATGAGTGCATTCCGGCTGAGCCCGTATTCACGCAGGAGATGGCAGAAATCGAGGCGAGGACGGGAACTCGGTGGGAGGAAGTCCCGGCGGTGTTGTCGAGACTCAAGGCAAAGGCTCGATCTCTCGGCTTGTGGAACCTCTTCATGCCCAAGGTATGCTTGGTGTGAACAACCATCTGGTGGGCCATCCATTGACAAAGCTGCTTCCCTGGCAGGGATCGCCGTGCGAGATTTGCCCCGATTATCCCGCTACAGGTGGCAGCATGAAGCTGCAGAGGCAGTCAGACGGCTTTTACTGACCTCTTCATCATGCAGTCACAGACTTGGCAGGCATTGATAGCATACCTCGTTGGCTGCAGCAGTAAATATTGAATACAGTAGGGGGACCTGTTTAGTGCCGGTACATGTCCAGAGATTTCACCGGCACTAAACCGGGCACCCGGCACTATTGCGAATAGTGCCAAAACGGCACTATTGAGGGCTGGCCAATCCCTCATTAGTGCCGGTCTGGCACTAATGAGGTTTTGTTCGACTTATATGGTGTAGCGCCCACGCTTGCAGGGTCAACAGAGTACGAAATGGATCGACACGACTGTTGAGTGAAGTCCCAGCGTCGGCGTGGGCAGACATTTCTTTCCTGCGACACGTGTGGTTCGAACCTGTGGAGCCCACAAGAGTTTGTTGTAAAATAAGATACAGTAGTTTCGGTCTAGAGCCTAACCAGGACTAGTCGACGGCGAAAGAAGACACGTCATGTACTCGAGTAAGCTGTGACGGCACAAACTGCTTGTATAGCTCTCGTTCGTACAAAATATCACTGCTCGCTGCCTACTTCGATGTTGCAGAATGAGAATGAAGAACTATAAAAAAAAAGCGTGCCAAAGACAACAAAAAAAAAACTGCAACTACAGCTGTAACCCCCGCCCTCACTACGTCAGGACAAATTATCTCCTGTCTGCCTGGCGCACCCGCTTCGATGTTGCAAGAAAAAGCAAAAAAAAACAATAAAAACGAGAAGCACGACAGGCAGCGCACCGCAACAAATCAAACAACCATCACTACCACAGCTGTACCCCCCGCCCTTACTCCGTAGCAACAACAAACTCTCTCATGTCTGCCTGGCGCACCCGCTAGGCGGAATGCGCTACAATCATCGCCATCTTCGCTTTCGCTAGGTAGAGCGCCGCGTCTCCGTTGCCACTCTCCTCTGCTGCCGCTTCCAGGACGCCGAAGTGAGACGACAGTTCACCATAAGCCGGTGGGGCACGGCGCGCGAGCCCCGTGTTCTCATCGCCACTGTCCTCCTCCTGTTCGTCCTCCTCCTTGCGGCCGGTAGACACGCGAGTCCCAGCCAGCTGTGCCGTCATGTCGTCCACCGCATACTGTCTGAGAACCTCAACCACTTCATCGTCGTCCTCGATGGTAGCCCACCCCTGAATCGCGCTCACCGCTTCCTCCACGAGCGGCTTTCCGGGTTCGATGTCGAGTTCTGCCATCAGTTCGGCGATGTCCTCGTCCTCGATTCGAAATCCCTTCTGCTGCGCCTCGCGCACGCTCGTGCTCAAGGTGTTGAGAGTCTCCGTGAGAGCGTTCAAGTCAGGCTGGGTGACCTGGAACCGGGTCTTTCCGTGTTTCTTGGTGAGCTCGGCCGCCATCTCCTCCGGAAGAGTCTTGGCTTTAATTTAACCCCCTTACCACGCACAGAAAATTCGGCGGTCTTGCGAATTTCTGAAATGTAAGAAAAAGAGCGAACGACGCCTGCTGATTCGATGGTGCAGACAGTTCCATCCCTGGGTGCAAGTGCAAACCTGCCTTCCCACTTGAGCCGTCTCTTGTCTATAATCCTTATCAATTGTCCCCTTGATACTAGGGGACACGAGGGGACAATTGATAGGGATTATAGACAGCAACTGGCGGGAGCGTGGTAAACGGGGCACGAAAAGGAGGTTTTCAAGATATTTCTCTAGAGGGAAAGCGAGACCTTCTAACTCAAGCCCTAGGTTGCTCGGTGCGTCCTATCAACGGTGGGCTAGGTACTTCTTCCGCGCTTGCCCCTAATAGCGCTTTCCACCCAAGGGTACACAGACGCGGCGCAACTTCGCTGTTGAACCGGCGGCGTAATCGCCCCGCGATTCGACCTGTTCATTACCCTCATACTCCTCCACTCTACAAAGCATCCATACTAGACTAGAGTCGTCCCTGTGTACCCTGGCACCCCCCTGGTCGAGTAGTGCAAAGGAGGAGACAATCATGCCAATCTTCGCGAGGTAAAGCAGGTGAAGAAGATGGGGACAAAAAGTGTCCCCAAAAGGCGATCCAGCCCTAAAGGGGTTAACAAAGCACCTTGTCCCAGGTAGCGCAGAAAATGTCGTGCATACGTTTTTGGGTGGACAAGCGGATGTTAAACGAACCCAGTGACGATCAATGACTCATCGGCATGCGAGCGAGGACCTCTTTTTAGCGAAGAAACAATGGAGATGCCCGGATGTTGGAATAATCTGTCGAAAACAATATACTGTAATCTATCCGTACAACCTTACCCACGTTACCAAACCAAAGCTATGTGCACCAATGCGCGAGTTGGACGTTTTACATTATAAACAGCGATAGCACATGTTCAAACCTCACCTGGCGATGTCCTGGGCGGTGACGCTGGCCCATGCTTTCTGGAGAAGTTCAGCGGCATCCCGCACGTGAGGTTGGTGCCCTTGCACCAGCCCCATTGTCCAGGCCTTCATTTTGCGAGCTTTGGCCTGGGCACGAAGGGTGTCAGCCACCAACATGGTTGATGCCTTCACATCGAGCAGCTCCTTCCTGTAGTTGCACTTCTTCTTGGCGATGATCCCCATATCCATGGGCTGGTGTACGGAGGTGCACAGCGGAGGGTAGAACTTGATGGTTCTTGCCCCCGATCATCCACTAGATCACCGTGAGAAGAACAGTCGTCCATCAGAAGCAGCACAGGTTCGGTAGTGAAGCGCCGAACGAACGGGAGGAAGACTTCACACCACCACTTGCGGAACGTCGCGGTGTCGGACCACGCGTTGGCCTGCGAGAAGTACTTGAGAGGTGAAGCCGTGTTCTTGAAGCAGCGGGGTTCCTTTGCCTTCCCTATGATGGCCATGTCAACCTTTGCAGTGCCGTCGGCATTGGCGCACATGAAGGCAAACAGTCGATCCTTGAAGAACCATGACCCTCCTTGTTTTCGCTATCATCATTCTGATCCTCATTTTGACAAGAATCTCTGGGCAGTTCTTCCCTAGCCCTACGTTTTTTGTTTTGGGGAAGGTCATCCGGCTCAAACCCTTTGCTCTCTTCCACTCCTCCATGTTTTCCTCCTCCATCGTCGTCTTCGCCCTCCTTTCTTCCCTTTCCCTTTCCTTCGTCTCCGTCACTCCTAAAATAAGTACCCTCATTACTACCGTTGTCGCAGAGATCCCAACCGATTGGCCCTGGTGGAAATTGGTCGATCAGTAGCCCATGACGTTTGAACACATCGCGAGTTCGCATGGACAGAAAACGAGCTAGCTCGAAGGTAAACCGTCTCCGAATCCTGTTAGTATGAAAAGCTTTCAGGCGAACTAAGGCTCTTTCGTCGTCAAAATTCCCCCGGCAAAAAGCTTCGTGCGCCAAGTGGTTGGCGATGGCAACGATGAGTCGATTTGTGCCTTTGCCAAGACCACCATTCGTTGAAAAAGCAGAGTAAGGAGGGTAGATCTAGACGGGTTGAAAGTTCCCGCATAGTGATTTGCCTTACTTGCAGCTCGATCTTCGAGGGCGGATCCTGGCTTTTGGACCGACTTGTGGATGCTTCGACCTGCGGATGGGTTGACGATTGTTACGTCTATAAGAATGGACTTGGTGCAGAGTTCCTCTTCCTTCTCTCCTGCGTGTAGTCCTGGGGGGATTACCAAATCCATCTTGTATAGGCCCTTTCCCTTACCCGTGCCTGTGGTAAAAGGGGAAGAATCGTCAACGGCGATGGGCATATGGCACTCGCGCAGTGTCTTGAGGACTACTCGAACCATCATGTTATGGAGGAAGGTTGAGGCGCCGGTCTTGGTGCAGACGAGGGAGTGGGCTCGGCTCAAGCGGTCCTTGCATGGTAACAATGCACCTGCACCACAAAGTTTGCCTGTGTCGCAGTCTGCTCGATCGTGACTCCCCAGTACACGACCGATTGACTCCCGATATAGATCAGGCATCATTCTTTCATCTGCTGACAAAACTCCCTTGCCTTTCGCTTCCTCCAAGCGGATCAATGCTCTCTTCTTTGACGTTTCCTCGCCTGCTACCTTCTGCAAGTCTGTCTCCACCATATGACGCACTGCTGCATGAAAAGGTTTCGAAAGGAGAGCTTGGGCTCCAAAGACTTGGTAGTGTTGACCAAATTCATTTCGGCTGTAGGTATACGGTGGTTGATGTTCCACGTCAGGGTTTCCATCTTCACTGGGTTTTCCCGCCTTCCCTGCTTCCAACAGGTAAACTCCTTTGAGGGCGGGGGTTAAATCATCACTTGTGGCAAGTTTAGCCCATGACTGCCCAAAAGTGTTTTCAAGCTTGGCTTTGGTGATGATCTCCTCTAGCTTCTTGAGCGAGTCAATCAGAGCCAATCCTGTCGGTAGCTGGGCAAGCCGGGGCAGACATTGCTCAACTGTGTATCCTGTCGATGCTTGCACTGACTTGGAGAACACCAGTGCTTGCCCTGCCACAAAAGCCGATTCTCGAATGAGAACATTGCTCGTGATCCCTAGTCCTCCTTCACGCATGGGTAGGTGCACCTGTGCCCGAGCTGTCCCTTTGAAGAAATCTACCTCCTCGCTCTTCGTCGGGTCTGCCCGTACTTCTTTGTCCGTTGGTATTCTCATGCTGTCGGCCATCTTGCCGAGGACGATCTTACTCATTGCCCACATCATCATGTTGTCATGTTTTCTTGCGGCAGAGATAGTGATAGACGGTGCAATCGTCCTCAGCAGATGGAACAAACGTGGCACACCAGATAAACGCAGCAGTTGATAGCTGGCTTGAGGGTCGTCAAGCGTTACTCCGCCGGGTCACCACGGGTGAATTCGGAAACGAAATTCCTCTGCGGAGTATCAATTCCGCCGGGTCACCACGGGTGAATTCGGAAACGAAATTCCTCTGGAACTCTTCTGTCCCTATAATAGTGGGATTCCGACTACTGGCATGCCACCTTCAGTAACTGACAGACCAATTTTCGTCAATTGTTGCTGTTCATCGTTTGTCAAAGAGGGCATGCAAAGACCTTCCGGGAAAAGCACTTTGGATTTCGGGAGACTGAGCTCAATCCCTTTTTGGGAGACACGTTCCTGAATCCAATTCGTTACAGTGGATATGGCCTGCATGTTCCTAGCCAAACCTGATGGAAGATGCGCTTGGAGGTCGTCGACGTATCCGATGAGTTTGACTCCTGGCACTGGTGGCTTGTTGTTGAACTCTTTCATGATATCAAGGAGTCCTACACAGAAGCCGAACCCTCCCAAATTACAGCCTTGTTGAACTCCGCGCTGTGAAAGAACAACCTCGATCGAACCATCTTCCATTTTGAACAGAAGTTTCGCCTTGGTTCGAGCGTAGATGTTCCCGAAGTACTTCACCAAGTGTGGCGTATGAGTGGCCACTGCTGGCAAGATTGAAGATCTGCGCATGCTGTTGTAAGCATTTTTCCCATCAAAGGAGAGAATGGTGCTGCCTTGGTGGGGGCTGAGGGCTGCTGTGGAAGCCACTATCTCAACTCCTCCTGGAACACCACCTCAGAACTGGTTTGCTGCCTCGAAGTGTGTGTGTGTGTTCGCGCGCGCGGGGTAACCGGGACTATTGGGGGTGGCAGCGGCGCCGAACCGGCACTATACATGGCAAGCTCTCAATGGTGCCAGACCGGCACTTTTGAGAGCACCACCTGTGTCCAGAGATTTTACCGGCGCTATATCGGGCACCTGGCACTAATCAACCGGCACTAAGCAGGTCCCCCTACTGTATTGACGTACAGCAGTAGAGAGGAACGTAGGTTGTTTGGATAAATAATAAAGAAGCTCCGTGTGACCCCGGCTGGTATGTCAAAACACATACACCGAAAGGTGTGTAGCGCCAGAAAGATGGGACGAACAACACGCCCGACTGCAGTCAACACTTGACGTCATCGTCTTGTATGCAGCGGCTCACATCTCACACCAACGTATAGGTCATAAGCGCCCTCGTGACTACCAAGGCTATGTCCCAGCGCTGCAAGTAGCTTGGTTGCCTCTTGGGGGCGAAATGTGCGCGTTTACTGTAGTGGCACACATTCTGTGATCCAATGCCGAAAACTACCGGTTTTGTGCGATCGTTCGATACATGGCAATTTGAAGTACAGTAGTCCTGCGACGAAACTCATGCATATCCACCTACATCCGATGCGAAGCGTTTTGCGTGCACGTTGTTGTCCTTCAGGGGCACGAAGGGAGCGCGAATGTGCCGATGCAGGAATACGCACAAATGAGCGAGGTGAGGTTTGGCGGCGGCTTCAATCAGCTGCGATGGGCCGACCTGTTCGTCGACCTGCCCCGCTTGATACCTGTAGGCCAATCTGGCACCTCCAGAAGTACGTTGACGAACAGTAGCTCGCGACCAACCAGGCTGATGTGCAACTCTCCTGTACACTACAATATGCACAGAGGACCGTGCAGTGTTGTAAAATGCGATAGTGACACAAGCTGTTCTAGTCACAGAGAGCAAATGCAGCACCTGCGCTCTTGCCGTTATTTCAGTACAGGAGACAGACGTGTCTTGCTGATAGTTCCGTGGTATGTCGAGTTTATCCTGACCTTCCCCCGACTACGTTGGCCGACTTGCCCCTGCCTCTAATCCAGCTGATGGGACGCTCGTCTATCGCTCCTGAGGCGTGCAACTGCTCCGCACCCGACACCGGCAACATGGAGGTATATATGCCGCGGAGAATGTTGACAGCGACGCTGAGCATGCTATCGAAACTGGAGACTTATACCCCTATTGATGCTTCCGCGCGCTTCCGCAATGAGCGTTAGGCCCCACCAACTGGTGTCCTCCGAGGAACCACGATCCCGATCCGCGGCCGCCGGCGGGGGGGTTTCGGCCATGATTGCACGACCTAACACACGCAACGGTTACGCACCGCTCTTCTCCCCGCCCGACCTGAAGGTGTTCGCCAACTATGGCAGTCCCGAGCACAAGGCGACCTGGCTGACACCACTGCTTGAAGGTGCGTGCACAGCCCATGGCCCGCGTGGTGATGGGTACTCGTGGATATTTATTGCCCGTGCGACACGCTGCAGACGTATCCTTTGTTATCTAAAAAAGTGTGACCTCTCGCCTGCCCCTGACCTTCCCACTCTCCAGGCAAGATTCGAAGCGCGTTCCTGATGACCGAGCCTGCGGTTGCAAGCTCAGACGCCACCAACATTGCCTGCGATGTGCACAGAGAGGGTGACATGTACGTGATCAACGGCCGCAAGTGGTGGAGCTCTGGAGCGATGGACCCACGATGCAAGGTGTGTAGCGGTGGAGTGATTTCCGTACGGTGTCCAGATGTCACACGCCGGTCATGCTGCTGCAGGGTGGTAGGCACAACCGCTTAGCGAATCCATCGTCTACAACACACCATGCTACCGTCGCGGTTATCTTGGGGCACACCTTAAGCACAAGAAACGCGACGAGTTAGCATCGTATTTTCTGCGGACAGACGTTGGGTAGCATCGAGAGGGAACCGCGCCACACGTATTGAAGTCTTTGGTGGGGGCCTTGGCTCCGTACGCAATATCCTACGTTAGCAGCACCGTGCATCCGGACTTGCCATATTGCCTGATAGTGTTAATTGTTCTGGTTGCGCAACGGAGTACCGCCAACAGTATGGTACCACATTAAGGGGCATAGGCGGCTGCCTTCGAGGAAGGTGTTTCCCTCCATGTGCCCTCCCGTTTCCCAAGCCGTTAAAGAAGCTTGCAAAAGCTTACCAAAATAGTACTACAGTAGACTGCATTTGTTGTTTGTGCATACAACGAATGTTCATGCATTTCGTGTACCGTTTTCACCACAAGGTTGCTATCGTCATGTGCCGCCACGGGGGCGCTGAGTGGGATGCGAAGGGGTCCCATGGCCGGCACAGCATGGTGGTGGTTCCGATCGATGCGCCTGGCGTGACGATGGTCCGAGCTCTCAAGGTCTTCGGGTACGACGATGCTCCGCACGGTCATGCCGAAGTCGAGCTCAGGTGCGGCAGTTGTAGATCCCGAGAGTTTTGCAATCTCTTTTGCGACACCGTATGCATGGTAAGGCCTCACCCGGTGCTCACACCTGCAAGATTTCCAGCATTCAGTAAATCCGATTTTGTAAGAACAATTCCAGTGCAGTCTGTGCGCAACAGCACAGCAGGTGCTCCCCGATGGCTATCCCTGCACGTGGCGTTCCGCCCAACACCTGACTTTGCTGTGCACTTTGTGCCGGTTCACTGTTGGGTGCGCTGGTCTCCAGGCACCCGTACAAAGTTCGACTAGAACCGCAGAGAATATCACGAGCGCAGCTTTCGTCCAAGAGTCTGAAATGTGGAGAGAAGGCCTCTCGGCGGTCATACCCAGGAACGCTTTCAATGCATTTGAGCATCTCGTGACATTGCGGGCTTGCCGCCCCCCGCGATAGGAATGTTCGTGTCCCACTATCCAGCATCCTGCTGGGCGAAGGGAGGGGCTTCGAGATTGCTCAGGGAAGGCTCGGGCCCGGAAGGGTGCACCACTGCATGCGTGCGGTGGGGATGGCGGAACGCGCCTTGGCAGCCCATGTTCAGCGCTCTCGGTGAGCTCCAATCGTTTGTATCTTGCGCGCAGTGAGGTGGCGTTTTGGTCTTTTGCCAGATGCTTTAGCAGCATGTAGCCAACCGTCGTTCAAGTTTGCCCAGTGTGTGCGTGCTCTCATCCGTTTTCTAGTCGAAACCGCCGCTGTTGCCCCGCTTTCATCGTGTGCTGTACGTACTGCCAAGTGCTCGGCTGCTCTTTGCGCTTTCTCCCTCCCAAACGTTGCTTTTTGGGTTACAATACGCTGATGCCCTCGTCCCCTGCCCTGTGCACCTTGGCTAGGGACCGTGTCGCGTTCGGCAAGGCGCTTAGCGAAGACAGCCTCGTGAGACATCATGTGGCACAGAGCCGGATGGAGATCGACCAGGTGAGATCGTTGAATGTTATGAGGCTTGTTGACAAGTGTGATGTTTTTGCTTTTTTCGACATGCGGTTGCGGATATTTCTACGGTATCCAAGGTATTTTATTATAATAGGGTGTCTCGATCTTCTTTCTCTGCGTAACAAGCTTGGTCCTGGGGTTCCGTCCTCATTTACGATGCTGTCGATCGAAAGGTTCGAGGATCTCTGCGAAGTGATCGACAATATCTTTGGGGGCGTTCAGAAAGACTTTCATTTTGTTGCCTTTTTTTACATACCCACAGAAGTGGTGCGGCGGTCACTTCCTAGGCATGAACAGGGCGTCAGTATAGTTCACAAGTGTCACGCTAAACGTTACCCACGTGTTTTGCCGTTGGTCTCATAGTCAAGGTGTGATCCAGCAGCAACGATTATTTGCCTTTGCACGTGGAGTACGTATTTTCCAATAGATCCGCCCTTTGCAAGCAGGATGTGCAACTTCGCGGGGTTCCTGACTGACATGTTGCTCATATCGCTGTCGGATACCGCCTGCGTTTTTGTGCCGTAGTCTCGACTTCTCGTCCAGGACTGCGCTGCGAAACTCGAGGCGTTTGGTCTACAAGGAGCCATCCAGGAAGTTTCGATGATCAAGGCAAGGTGGAGATTTTAGATTTTCGCCCCCACGTCCCACGCCGTAATTTGATCTTGCATTGCCGCTGGACTTCATGTGTCCGACAACAATTCATCCTTCCATCTAGGCATACCGAATGCTGTCGGTGCCACTGCGTACAGCTATGAAGATATGCCACAAATTAGGAGACATTTCACTACGGCTCAGCACATCCTTACTGCAACACCCGTACCGAAATCACAACAATACTGCTGGCAACGAGTCTATTCCCTCGCCTTGACAACCTGCGGCAGGTGGTGGTGCCGAACATGGCATGCCGAGTTATTGATCGCGCAATCCAGATGCAAGGCGGCTTGGGGGTGTGCCAAGACACGTTCTTGTCGGAAGCTTATGCCCACATGCGTACTTTGCGGATCGCCGATGGGCCCGACGAAGTGCACACACGCAGCGTTGCCAAGTACGAATATCGGCGAGCCGCAGGGATGGCACTGTCATCTCGCCTTTGAATGGATGGGCGACCCTTTTCTCCCAAAAAATAAGACATGGGCATGGTCGAGGTACCAGAATAGGAAGGCCCGCGAGCCTTCGGCTGGTGGCATCTTTCGTTGTAAACTTGCACTTGTATGTAGGAAATACATTTTCATGACTGCTGTATCTTACAGTACGCCTCATAACCTGGCAAACGTCAAGGCGTAACGAAAGAAGAGCGAATGTCTGTCGACAACATGATGAGTGTTTCTATTCACCATTCACCACGAACGTACGTGCGTGGTGCGCGTGGTATAGAAGTAAGTATCTCAGATCGTATGCGTACAAGATCGTAAAGTAAAACAATTTGCTCCACAGACACGGCTGAGTTTTGGGTGCTACATGCACGGATGACTACGTCATTTCGTTTGTGTGCGTTAATGCCTGCATCGGTAGGAGGCCTCAGGGAGAGGAACCCTTCTTATGTGGGACGACGGGTTGGAGTAAACAGCGCTCGCTGCTGTGAACACTGATTTGCAGTGAAGACAAAAAAAAAATGTTTCGCTAAATGTGTGAGGCAACCCCCCCCCCCCCTCCCTCCCTCCCCAACCCGGCTCGCTAAACACGCGGCAAACCACTTCGTGTTATATGCCAGTCGGTTCTTCAGTGAAAACCACAACGAACTGTTTAGTCTAGTCTGTCCTCCGGCTTCTTTGGATGCAGTGTAAAACGATGCACATACTACATGATTTTGAGGTCAACCCCCCGCCCGGTGCCTCTGCCTGCCTCACAACTGCTGTAGTAGTGTTCTGACAAGCGAGCCGAGATTCCACGCATTCATCATGCAAGCAGCCTGACAGGTTAAAACGCAGGACGACAACAACACCCGGTTGGCGGCTTGTAAGTTGTTTTGTTTTTAGGAAAGTTACATAATAACCTCACAGAAAGACCACCCGTTCGAGATAATACCACACGAAGCAGTTTTTTTTTTTTTTTCTTAATATGACACAACGAATCCATCTCTATATTCGTTGTGTCATATTAAGAAAAAAAAAAAAAAGAGTCTGAGACAGATTAGCAATGAATTCATAGCGTCAGAAAGTACCTGTATGTCTACGATTTGTTATTATTTTGGCGACTGACGTCCCCCATTTTTGTCAGCTAATCAAGTACAATTTCAATTTCGTTACACGTGTACTCCGCATTGTTGTATCTATCTTGGATCTTGCACGCATGCATCCAAAAGATGTGCGCGCCAATAAAAGAGCAGGAAATTTCAACAAATTAAGGAATAATAAATACACACACAGAAAGACTACCCATTCGAGATATGCCCACAGTCGAACGGGATGTGGTGGAGTCTTTTCAGTGAGTGGAGGAAAACCGGCTGGGTACTGGACTCATTTCGAGTCACTGATGATTTATGTCAGTGATGCCAGCTGGTGCTAAGTACAAAAACATCTGGATAATAATAGGTAACTTACATTTTACAATACATCCCCGATAGTTCTCGACTCGGTCAACGACAAAATATCGGGGAGAATCCCTCCGTTGTGTCGTGTATTGTAAAATGTAACCTTCACAGGGGACACGGCGCAGTGTCTATTGACGGCTTGTTGGTTTGTTATATCAAATTGTAGTTGTTCAGATTCTCCGTGGACGGTACAAGGATGTAGCCGTTAGCCGCTTGCGACCTAAAGATCGAAAGATCGAAAGATCGAAAGTCGCCCTTCTGCACAAAGATCAAGATGTTACTTGCTTGCGAACGCACGTACGTTCACGGAACGAGCTTTGATGCAATCCGAACATCCACCAAGTTTGGCTCTTGTTGTTGTTGTTGTTGTTGTCTTCACATTAGAAACCGTTCCGATCTCTCTCTACCCAGTACCTACCTTCAGATCCAACACTTGACGCGGTCGATTCCCGTGGTCACAGGCTGACTTACCCTAAAAAGGTAAGCTCAAACAAACTGGCCACGAGGGGTCCGCAAGTCAATAGAAATCAACGACAGATATTCTGGAGTCCTCCGCTCCCTCTGCGCGCTATGCGAGGTAACAACTGAGACTAGGAGTCAGCATCACGGGCTAGAGAGAAAGAGGTACACCCCCTTGGTTCAATCTTGGTGCTTCACACGCAAGCAGAGACAAGGCCATCTGACACAGAAAGAGAGAAAAAGATGGATTTATTGTGTCATAACAAAAAACACTTCTTTCTGTACATGTAGATAGAGATTTAATTGATTTATTGTGTCATATCAAGAAAAAAAACAAAAAAGAGCGACAAAGAGAAAAATATGTACCACGGAACAATTTCACATGTGTGTGGTGTTTGGAGCGTTCCGCGGTACGTCTACATCTTAAGGTCCGCAACAACGAAGGTATCTGTATTCGGGGGCACAGGTGTGCCGTTCACGTCCTGACGGCGGCACTGGGGAGTGCGTGTCAGCGTGTGAGCCATTGGCTAGGCATACCAGCGGGCGGGTCGGTACGCCGGTACCTGGTACCGCTCAACCGAGACACCAATCAGTATTGCTCAAGCAAACGAAGCACGGTCGGTGCAATACCCCAGCTCGGAAAAGATACCTCCAATCAATTTAATATTGTTGGCCTTTATATCCACATATACTTGTAGCCTGGCTTTGTTTCTCGTATGCACATGGATATGGATATACCAGTATATATCGCCAAGCAATAATGTTGAGGCTTGACGCTGGCACTCTCTCGGTTGTTGTTTTGCGACACTCTCACATCGACTTCCCTATGAGAGGGCCGGCACTGCTGTCCAGTGCTGTCGCAGATCGAACACAGCCTGCTGCTGCACCACACATGGCACAAAGGGTCGACCGAGACCAAGTTCAAGTTGGCCCCTCAGAAAGAGCGAATATCGCCATTACTTGCTGGCCGATTACACACCACCCCGCAGCATACATCAAAGGCAAACACGAGACCTCTTGCCACTCAACCAACCACCTGGATCCGGCGAGGTGTGCAGCACAGGCAGCACCCACGCGCGGTGCCTTTGGTGTGTGCTTGTGTGACTGACCCTTTCGCCCCTTCACCGCATTAGATATTATTCGACCGTGTTTTTTTGGCTCTAAGAGGAAATATGGCTCTTCCACAATGGCAAGAGAAAAAAACTGCTGCCCCTGAGAATTTGGCCTCTAATCTGTCTTCCCTCGACCACGTTTTCATTCGCAACCGCCGTCGCCGCTGCCGCCGTCAGAACCGCAGGCCAGGACAAGGACAAACCAGGGAGGCTGGCAGATCCAACCAAGCACGACTATCGTAGAGCCCGAGCGTGCGCTGCGTGTGCTAGACCGACCTCCCTAGTCTTCCAGAGGCCTCGAACGAACGACGACCGACCTGGCAGCTAGGCGCGCGAAAATTCAAGGCCCCAAGACCTTCAACCTCGACACGAGCAACCAGATGACGACGGTGCGGGCTGTGGGAGCCAAGCGACCTCGGGGCTACGTTGCTGCAGCTGAAGAACCAACGCTGCCATGGGCTGGAAGGGTGCCGAAGCCTGCCATGGACGCAGATAGTTTTGTGGACTACGGGAGCGGATTCTTGAGGAAGTCGTGTGACAGGTGGGTGGCGTGGTAGGAGGGGACGTTGGAGAGATCGACGCGGAAAAAGCGAGAGGAGAAATAAGAGTGCGAGGATTCACGGCGGATGAAGCCAACGGATGTGCGCCTTATGTGCGCCAGCTTGTTCGCGCCAGCCTGGGCGTGTGCAGCTGCGACGACCTTGGCAAGGCTTTGTTTCAGTCAGCAGCTGCACCACGCGCGTGATTTTGGGGAAGGGGTTGAAGGAGAGCGGAGTTTTTGTGTTTGGGCGCGGAGAGAAATCGCGTCTGTACGTAATCGTTTGTCCGTGTGTGGGCCCCATTATGGCCGCTGCCGTTGCACGGGATGGTGCCAGCTAGCCTTTCGATGATGCCACGTCCGTTGCTGGCGGTTTCTGCCTGGAGAGAGAAAGAGAGCAAGAGAGAGAGACCGAAGCAACATCAGCTTTAGAAGGATTATTTCGAGGCAAAATTCAAACGTCCACGCACACACACAGCAGCCTGCCTTACCGCCCAGTTCGTGGTCTCAAAACGGCAGATGCACACATGCGCGTGGATGCAGCTGTGGATGCGCCCACACATCACACCTGGCGCATCCCGCACCTTGGCTCTATGTCCCCACCGCTACGCTGTTTCCCCACCAAGCATTGCGCATTGCACAAAGCGAAGCTATCCACTCTATCCGCACTCATCCGCCAACCTTTTTTTTTCACGTGTGGCCTTTCCCCCTCTTCAACCTCCCGGTAGCTGTGTCAGCAGCAAGCGGCGGTGCGATGGTCAAGACCCCTGCACGCGTTGCTTGCGAAGGAAGAAGCCATGGTAAGCGAAGCACCTCTAGTCTGGTCGAAGTCATGATTGCCACGGCCATCTCTGACCACGCAGGACCACAGAGTAAGGTCACCACATTCCGCGGGCGGCGTGCGTGGCGAATTACGCAAGTCTTCACATGTTGATTGATTTCAATGCAACACCAAATGTGAGGCTCACAACTCTCCGCACCTTTTTGGCGCCTAACAAAGCAACAAGCAGCCATCATATTACGTATGCATATGCATCTACTGTGTGTAGTCACGGGAGCGACTTCCTTTCTTAGTCTCGTTGCCAGTATGTGCGGGATTAGCGCGTGAATCTGTGTTTCTGGCCACTCTTCATTTGTAATTCCAGTCGAGTTTTTCCGCTCACCACCCCAATAGCTAACTACAGCAGTAGTGGCACATTTGAGAGTCGTGTAGGGTTTGACAAGGGTTATGGCAAAGCCCACAGCAGTATGCATACAACTGCTTTATTCGCTGGCAAGGTCGAGGAGGAAAAAGATGAACGAGGTTTGAAAATATAGAGGAACGTGGCGCTTCTATGCATGAAACAAAACGGACCACACGCGTCCGGATTGTGTTCTGTCGCAGACACCCGATCTTATTTTCCGCGTAAAAATGGGAATCGAACAGACACGATACGATATATTTCTTCCTTGGTTTTGAAGCCTCTGCATGTCTCATCACACACCGATGACGAAATAACGATTTTGACTGCTTGGTGTGGTTTTCCATTAAGTATTCTAGTGACTTTCCAGCGCACCTGTTGTGTACGATGCCGTCCTACATGTAAACGCCGAACTTGCAATGCAGCCGACCTCGACATGCCCTGGGCAGAAACTCACAAGAGGTCGTGTGATGCCAGTGGCAAGAATGGTACGCCCTGTCTTTGACGTTCGATGCAACGTGTTGGTCCAACCTCTGTAGGCTGCTTGAGACTTGACGACACAGCGATATCCCCGAGTGCATCCGATATTTGGCGTCATCGCAATTGCTATCCGCTTGGAGGGGCTCAGAAGTTTACAAGTCGCCCCCGCTGTGGTTCTTTTTCCGCCGACATCTTGAAACAGCCACTACACCGAGAGGAAGAAATGCGGCCCACGCAGCGGCCAGAAAACAGGGAATGGCACGAGACGGCAGCCTGCGAGCAGCTCTCCCCCTGATTGCGCGGGTTCATCGGGCGCAGACGCTCGCAAGCAGAGGCGACAGTTCATGGAGTATCAACAACGCGCCCTCCGGACACAACAGCAGCAGCACGCGGCCGTTGGTGGATTGGCTCGAGCGCCTGCTTCAGCTGCCAGCAGCCGCTACCCTGCGATGGCCCATAGTCGCCCCCTGCCGCCGCACGCCCCGATTCTCTCTACCGGCGAGCTGAGCGGAGAGACGACGTGCGTAGACCAAACGGATTGCTCTGACAATGGGCTGCCCCCCCACCGAGTGCTGTCGCGAGACGAATCAGGCAGCAGCTGGTGGTCCCTCGATGACCAAGGCGGAGCGGGGGCGGCCGTGTCGGCGCGCTTGAGTGGCGGCGTCCCTGCCCCTATCCCCAGCTCGTCGTGGCCTCAGCGCGAGCACCACCGGCCACACCAGCAGCACCACCAAGGCGGCAACAACGACTTGTCGAATGATGGTGCCGGCGTTGAGCACTACGGGCAGAGGACGGGGCTCTGGGGCGGGCTGCGCCCTGGCAGCGCTGCCGGCACCGGGTCCGGTAGCGGAGGCAGTACCGGCGAATCTTGGGACGACGAGTCCGAGGAGGGCCAGGGCCAGGATGAAGAAGAGGTAGCGGCACTGTTGCTCGGCCTCGGCAAGACAACAAACGAGGATTTCGAAGGGTTCTCGGACGACGACGAGGAACCGGCGCCCGAAAGACCGGTTCGCCCCGGTGGCGTGGGCATGTTTCGCGAGCCTCCCCGCCACTTGCCGGTGTCCAACGCCTCTCAAGAACTGAGCGTCTGAAAGGGCGGTCTGTAGCTATGGCGTTAATACCCTCTATCTGTTAACCAACCTCTCTGTTGAGGGAAGTTAGGCAGCGGTGGGCACAGACTGATTGTGGCGTTCGGTTGCACCGCTTTCACCTAGCAGCAACAAGGTGTGGTTGAGTAGAGGCCATTGATATACTTCATACATTTGCCGGTTGGATCACATAAGAATGCCTCTTCTGTCAGCGTGTAGCGTTCGCAATGATTCCCTCGCTGAATTTCGTTTTACACGTACTGTTCAGAGGAATTTTTGCGCTCGAGCATAGATTTGCGCGCTCGTGGCAGTTCTTTACAAGCTCAACATAGATTACGCAAGAGGTGGAAGGGACACGAGTAGCTGTATACAAGTAGTCGTATGCATAGATCGATCTGGGCTGTTGAGTGGACTACTTTCGTACCACTCAGTAGACGGCGACGACGCGCGTGCCCTACCTGCAAGTAGTATACACCCCAATAGCCAGGGGCGACAAATCGAAGCCGTAAGGTGTCTGTTTAGGAGTACCTCCGTGTGCTGTTGAGCGGTATTGCGTTTGTCGATGTTTTGGTTGTTCGATGTTACGCGCGGTTTCCAGCGTACGTCTATTTGTTGGCCTGGTAGAACTGGTCGCCGGAGTCTCGAGAAGTCCCGACGACGAGTACCTCACAGCAACGTATGGCTGTTTGAAAGATGTTTTTCGTGCTTGCGAAGATGGTGAAATACAGCCCATTTGTTGGTAAGCTTGTTATCTTCTTGGTCGTACTTTTGTGCTTTCGCGGGGGTCCTCTTTGGGTTTACTCTTAAGTTACTCTGTCGTGATTGTCTGCATTATTGTAGTGCATACAGCCAGTAGGCACGGTATTTTGTCGCGCGAGGAGCCTTTATTGACCCCCCCCTGTTTCTTGTTTTCTCCACGCATGCGGCGGAACGCCGGTTTGATGTTCTCGGGGCCGGTCCCGGATGCCCCGCAAGTATTGGGAGTAGCAGATGAAGCTGTTGCCAGATGATTTTATGGTGCGAGGTTGAGATAAAGTTGTATGGGAAAAAATTGACACGTTTCGCGACTTGTTTGACTGTGCGGCAAGTAGGCTCAGGATTTCACACGTGTGCTTGTGGGACAGGTTGTTGGTATGAGTCTCACGCAACCCCACATCAAGAGTGCAGCCTCTACCAATCCATGCCATTGTCAACCCAACCGCTGAGTAAGCAAACAAATCGATGTCACTATAGGCTTAGGGTGTTGTTGGGGCATCAGACCATTGGATATCATCACCACCGAATGTCAATTTTGGGCGCTACCATCCCATGCCCCGATGCCCGGACAGCAGTGGAGGAAGTAAGCCCATTGTCGTCCCCTTGTGCGGGTTTAAAATGCAGTAGCCCCCGAGTGTTGCGCCCCCAGGAAAGAAAGCGTGTCGCTATTTTACCCCAGACCACGGACGCTGTTCCCTTTTTTACCGAAACACAAGGCACATATGGTACAAGTATGTCGACATGGGTCTACTCGGACAAAAAAAATTCCCTCGACACCAACAATTCTCATGTTTGCGTCGTGATGGAAAGGCACCAGCCACACTTTTTGCACAAGACGGGCCCGCAGGTAGGAAAAAAGTATATCAAGAAACAGGGTCATTTTTTCACGAAGGATATGAAAACAGGGCTAGGACATACACCTCAGGGGTTGATCCTACAACCTGTGCTCGACAGTGGCGATAAATAATAAGAAACTGAGCCTCGATCCGATATTGACGTTTCTGTATCACCAGGCCCGCTGTACATGTCCAGCAGTGTCGCTTTTCTCAAGCTGGTGTCCGCGATTTTTCCATCCTTGTCGGAACGTGAGACAGGCTCCGTCCTCAAGCTTTCACAGACACGTTGGTGAATTCACCCTTGAGGTACCTGAAGTCGGAAGAAGGCAACGCCGGATCATTTTTTTTCTCGTGATGAGCGAATCCCCAGTAACAACACAACGCTTTAACATGATGCCGATGCTTCGGTACTGCCACAAGAGGCCAACAAGCTCGAGATAAACAAACGCAGAAAATATGCCGTTGGCTGGTTGTCGTTTGTACGTGTAGAAAAATTGCGCGCACCACCACACAAGGTCTCTGCAATCCCAGGTCCCTCACGATGGTCCCTTACCTGAGGGCCACCTTGATAGCATCGATCTCAATACGCGGAACACCGCTATCTTCGAAGACTTCCTCCAGTTCGCTGGCATCGAGGCTGCCGAACGGGCTTTCCTCTTCGGGGTTTTCCGGTAAAAATTCCTAGGTTATTTGCACGGCAGCCGGCGGACGAAGTGGTGACAATCGCGTTTCGATGGGGGTAGGATGGGGTTTGACGTAGACAGGAGAAACGGGAGCGCATCCTGTTTCTCCGCATAAGCAGTCCTACATACCAGAATAGTATAACGCCAGTCTCACATTCGTTTCTCAGGCAGTGCCGTGAGTGGGTAATCGTGAGCGGGGTGGCGAGCGTTTGACGGTGGGGGGGCGTTGTACGGGGGGTTGGGGAGGGTGGACGTGTGCGACGCCCACAATCCGTTCAAATGTCAGCGGTTTGGAGCCGCATTCATTGCACCGTGTGATCGAGTTTGAGCTGCCCCCGCTAAATCATTGGGCCTGTCGTCCAACTTGATCTTTTGAGCAAAAACTTGATTTTGGAGCACGCTCGGCCAGCTCCAACCAAAATACGGTATCTTGGCATAAAACCAAACGGCGAACGATACCTGTTCTCTTACGCCGCTCATGATGTCATGATATTTGGACCCTTGGCCGAAGATGCCATCGGGGCCGGTACCGTTAAGTGCTTTTTCTTAGCTATCCTAATCACAATTGCGTCCTGTATCTCTCAATTGAAGAGCACCGACCCATGTGCACACACGAAAACTCCTCTGCGGAGAGTATCTTCAGTTTCGACGCGAGAGAAGTCAGTTGATCGATAGGCCACCACATGATCGGCACACGTGGTACAAAATACTGGGGAAAACCGTCATATCTCGTTGTGATTCGAGTTCCCGACCTTGAGCGTTAAGAAGCTTTCGTGGATACATATAGAGCCGACACGTCTGTCTGTCTTTCCTTGGCACAAAGCAAGTTGCAGATTGGTTGTGTTGATATCACGCATCCTTAGTTGGCTACTTTATTAGTAGAAAGACGATGACTGAAGTAACGTTGCGTGTGAGTGAGCAATGTGGTTTATTTCCGAGACGGGAAATCAGACTATATCCCTGGCATGATACACGGCAACACCCAGGGGCGGGAGGGGTTCAGTAGACGGGCGAGACGGCGAGGGAAGACAGAAACCGAGAAGAGGCGGACCGAGTGGCGCGAAATGCTGTGCCGGATTGAACCCCTTCATTGACTGTAATCCCCCCCCCCCCTGTCACCGTTTTTTATTGCGGTAACCATAGTGGTGGTCGAGTATATCATGTTGTGCGGGGTCGAGAACCCTCACTCCGCGCAAAGGGGATGATCGCACCACGTTGGCTCAAATTGGGTCAAGCGCCGTCGAGGCAGTTACACAGGGTTTACAACTGTCTCTGGAAGTGCAACACCAGAAAATAAATTAAGTCATTCGCAGCTGTCATCCGCATGCAAGGAAGTAAGCACAAGATGCCGAACACCCTTAGCAGGATGCAACGCACCCTTCATGCGACTCGCCGAATACCTCACGATGCTTCACGCTTGGTGATGTGAGAGCCTGGTCCGATGAGAACCCGGCGTGCTCCGTCTCGGCTTTGTACGGATGCGAGGTCAATGGTCTAAACGACTACGGCATGCACGACTATGAGTACACCCCCCCCCCCCTCACTGCACCATTGCACCAGCCCCCCACGAGCGATGACGTGCCTTTGTATTCTCGGGTGGCAAGCTTGTGTTGTCTTGTGTTTTGTTTGTTTGTCGCTACGGTAGTGGTTCTGGGGTGTGTCTTTCTCTTTGTCTTTCTTTTTTTCTCCCTCTGCTTTCTTCTTCTTCTTCTTTTTCTTTTTCTTCTTCTTTTATCTTTTCTTTTTCTTTCTCTTTTCCAGACAATGGTTACCTCGCATAGCGTGTGGAGGCGAGCGGGGGGTCCTAGACGTTGGTTTCTATTGACTTGCCGACCCTGGCGGTCCATTCGATTTTCGTATAACTTTTTTGGGTAAGTTAGCCTGTGGCCATGGGAATCGACCGCGTCAAGTGTCAAGACTAGTACGGACAGAGAGAACGGAACGGTTTTTGTCGTGGGTACTGACCAGGAGGCAGCACGGCGACCGGTACCACCCCTTCCTAGAGAAATATCAGCAACTTTTATACGCTAGAAAATAGGGATGATGCCGGCTGTCCAGGAGATGACGAGTACAAGCCAAGCCCATGATCAGGCGACCCCGAAATGCTCGAGGCTCAAGGCAAAAGGAACGCACCTGTTCTCTCAATGCTGGTTCCAATCCTGATAGACCTAAGATGCCGATCATCTTCATAAGTTCCGATCCGGTCCACTGGTGGCAATGCACGTAGTTGAAGGGCGTTGGAGAAGGAGTCAATGTCTTTGACGTTTCGGTACAAAATAGTCCAGAGGCTTGTCTACCTAACAGTAGGCCCAGTGACTCAGTTGGGAACCCAGCAAAGTCATCATCTGTCCTACAACCGATGGACGATGACAACAAACGTCATAATACCTTGTGTATCCATCCGAAAAGAAGCATAGCTACTTGTAGGCCCTCCCGGCCGCGGAGTTTTCCAATACAGCACGGGTCCGGAGATAAGAAACGTCAAAATCGGGTCGAGCCTCAATTTTTTATTTTCGCCCGAAGGACCAGCCGGAGTCGGCCAATTTCTTGAAACGGATCCTTTGGGCTGTCGCATCTTCCTGCTGCTCTTATTTTCGTATTTCTTTTTTCTGGCGAAGAAAACACCAAGCCTTCATGCAGCACTCTATCGACAGGTCGGTGTGGCGATCATTGATTGGGGTTGCCACCCTCCTGAACTTGCTGACTCCCGCGATTTGTGGCAGTACAGCGGTACAGCAGCAGTGGGTGGCGCATCCCGCAGCGGCGCTGGGGCGCGGGTGGCACCGCGAAGATAACCACTTCCCCCCCCCCCTACCAAAAATCACGTGAGTTAAGTAGTGGTGGGAGCGTGGCAGCAGCGGTGGGACGTTTCTTGTTGGACACGCTTCCCCAGCTACCCGTTGTTTCTTGTGTCTCGGTTTATCGCACGATTATGTTACTTGTTGGGACGTTTCTTATGTTCGTTGTGGCCGAGATTGAGTTGAACTTCTTCGCTCTTTTTTCGTATTATTTTCGTAGACACTTTAGCTTTTTTTTCTCAACAGAGTTTTTGTTAATTGCGGGCCCGTTCTGTAGTCGCGTCAATGATATCACGCACAACCAAATGTGTGTTGGGGCTTCCCCACGAGGTGGCCGTGGTTGAGTGAGAGCAGGAGATACCTACAGATTGTTGTTGAACGACACGCTGCGTCAAGAGGCTAAATATTATATTCCGCCAATAATAAATGTGTATTCGTCCTGGTGGTGCTTCAACTGCTGGAAGACTTCAAAGCTGTGTTGCGAGCACATTACACAGATGGCTTTTCAACTGCACTGGTGGTGTATGTACGTACATAGATATTGGCGGGGCTCACTAGTGAGCAGGAATTTTGGATCCCTGCCATCAGACAGAGCGCTTCGTTTTCAAGAGAAGCTGCGGGCCGTGTACATCAATCGTGGCCACGTGATTCGTGAAGTGCGCTCGCCGGCGTTGATCCGTAAGTGCTCACCTTGGACACATCCGAGGAAGACGGTGGGTATTGGCGCGAAAGCTCCTCGAATTTTTCAGCATAGCCGCTCTTCACAAGCGCTGGATGGCCTGCGTAAAACCAAGCTATTCCCATCTCTCAAAACTGCACTGCGCCGCTGCTGCTGTCAACCTTCGTAAAGGGGGGATGTAAGGTTCACCTAGGTCAAGGAGTACCAGTTTATCATCTCGAGATCTCGCTTGAGGTAGACAGAGGGTGACGGTTTCGGTAGCGTGTCATGTTGTCGACAAAGGGAAAGATGAACTGGTTCGATCTGTCTGGTGATCTGGTCCGTATCTTTGGTATCTGGAGATGATCTGGAGCGGTCGAGAGCAGCAGCTACAGCTAGTGCTGCATGCTTGCGTCACTAGAGTGAGAAATAAGAAAACGAGCAACAGAACGCGGAGTTGCTGTTGTACTTGTACATTTCGCGCACCCTTTCCTGCACTTGTACCACCGTCACACGCACAGACAAGCGGCAGGGGAAGAGAGAAGAGGATAACCGGACAGCTACATCACCTATGTTCCGTTTCGCAAGCGGTCCAATTAACGGGCTACCGACGGCAAGTTGACGTTCCCAATGATTCGTCTTGTCAGACGCTTTTTTGGCCCTTTTTTTTTTTTGAGAGCGTCACGACAACGCCTGCATTGAAACCCTTCTCTCACCGCCTCGTGCCCTCGTGTGCCCACCTACCGGACATCCACAGCTGCTCGTTGCCAGCACTTCGTGTCGAGTGCCGCGACCGCTTTCTCTCACTCTAGCACTTCCCGCCCGCTATCCCTTACTCCACAACCTCGTCGAATATGGCGCCCCGGAGAAATGCGGCAACGGCTGCGGCCGTCCTGGCAGGGTGTGCAGGATGTTCGGCATGGGTAGCGCCTGCGGCGCGAGGGTTCACAGGGCAGCGCGTGGCGCCGGCAGCGGCGACATCTTCGTCCCCATCAGGTTCGTTGAGTGCGCCTTGCAGTGATCCACGGCACGTTGATGCTGGTGTGTCGAGCGTCCAGGTTGCTGGTGCATGTTGTACGCTGCTTTCATGCGCGCGGCGGGAGAAAGCATGACCACAGAGATTCAAGAACCTCTAAACTGCGGCGGTGCTGCCATCTTCGTTGCCCTCCCTGGGCTTACCAGCTTGCCTGGATCGGTAGAGGCATGATAAGAACCCCAATGCAGTGCTTAGCGGTCTTGCCACGTAAGACCAGACGTGCAGATCCGGTAGCGGCTTCTAGCAGCCGCGGTGCGGGCTCGTGATGTGCAGGAGCAGCGTTGATGTGGGGTTCCCGTTTGGCAGTTTGGCAGCCTGCAGGGCTGGCTGAAAGCGTTCGTTGAAGCTCACAGGAGTCACGTCTTGCGTGTTGAGATAGATGGCGCATGCTTCGCGGTTTGGTCACGCTGTTCCTGGCCTCCTCTCGGAAGGGCGTGTCCAATATTGGTGCGTTGGTTGAAAGCTCTGCACACACTCAGGCATGTCTTGGCTCCGATTAGACGAACTTTCATACAAAAAAGAAAAGAAAGCATGCGCGTTGAAGTCCTTCCTTCAACACGCCTGCTGGCTGATGCAACGATGCCTATCGTGCCCGTCTTGCAACCTAGAGTCGCTTGCTGCTGTTGAACTCCATGAAGTCCTGTTAATGCATTTTCTCTCCTCGCACGGGGTCTGTGTAACTACTCCTTATGAAGAACCACATCAGAGGCAGTATTGATTTTTACATGAGTTGGTCAAGAGGCGACGCGTGTCGGGCAGGAAAGGCGGCGCGTTGATCTCGCTACACACAATTTTTCGGGTTTTAATTTTTTGGCGGTCTTGACGGCATTTTGGACCTGGGTTGTGTTGTGTTAAGGATCTGAGGTGCCATCTTTCATCGTGCTCCCAGTTTGCATGTATTCGCCCAGGTGCATGGATTGCGCCGACCAGTCCCATCTCCTGTTTTTTCTAATGGCCTTGATTACAATACATGCTGGTACGTCGAAGTGGTATATTACTGTAGGCACGTCGGAGTCTGGTCTGTCCTTTTTCACGTCAAAAGTGCCTGTCTGACAACGCAAGCGTGTTTCGGGAAATCGTTGTAGGACATCACTTGTCAGTGCCCCTGTTGTAATATGAGAAGTAACTCGGTTTCGGTACGAATACGAATATTGTTCTATCCATCAAATGGCCCGCGTCTTGTACAACATGTGTGGCTCCCTCTGACGATGTACCTCAAATCAACTTCACTCTATTTTATCTATTCGAAAATATAGAGCTGCTGTTCCACACTCCCGTCTCCACAGAGGCGCTTGTGTTGAACAGGATAGCGGGAGCGCTTCATGTTTCGCGGCATCATGCCTACGAGCGCTACAAAACTATTCTAGGATAGGGACTTTAGTATGGTTTTCGCCGTCAGAACAGCCGCAGATTTGGACGGCCAATAGCCGATCAACATCACGCCGTCCTCGCGGAAGGTCTGTTGGTCCACGCAGATAGCTACCAAGACGACTCCGCAGAGCACGGCAGTACGGTAGCACAACAGTGCGCACGTGGCAACGTATTTGCAATTATTCGCAGTGCCTTGCTCGACGGCCGAGGTGACCACATGACCACATGCGCGGTTAATGACATTTCTCCATGAAGACAGCAGTTCACAAAACCAAAGTGCATCAACAATCTTCCCCTTCTGGCTCGCTTGACGTCAGCATTCCGCTCCTGTAACCTTACCGTGAACGGTATGCTTTAGTCTTTCTGGATACGGCTGTTACAAGGGGTCGGAACGGTTCGCGTAACGACGAGATTGGAAGCTTTTCCCTAAGCCGCAGTCTACCTCGAAGTCGTGACCTTCCCAAGACTAAATTTGGAAACCTGACAAAGATCTGAACATGATGCAGGGATGAAGATGAAGTACAAGGTGGCCGTGGTGGGAGGAGGACCTTCGGGTTCTTGCGCCGCCGAGATCCTCGCGGATTGCGACGATGTTGATGTGACTTTATTCGAGCGCAAGATGGACAACGCCAAGCCGTGCGGAGGAGCCATCCCACTGTGCATGATCGACGAGTTCGACCTGCCCACCAGCATCATCGACCGCAAGGTTTGTAGCAAATGTCGGCACACAGACGTTGGGCATGATTGTAGCAATGCTACGCCGTATTTCAAGCAAGGACTTGTGTGCCCATGTGCGGGACAAATCTCGAACGGGTAGTCATTCAGTGATCGTGAAATGTTCGAAAAAGCTGCCGGCCATTCTTTCACAACGCACGAGGAGTCGAGGTAATCTCCGTACAAGTTGCTTGCGTTTCTTCCCTCAACCACGTGTTAATCTGGTGTTCAATAGGTACAGATGCCTAAAGGGTAAGTGAGCGTCACAACAACCGTGGCCTCGCGCTCGTCTTCGTTTCCGAGCTTGATCCTTTCCCAATCGATGTCAACGATTGATTTCATCTCATACGCTTGTGTTCCTGCGCCCCCGTTTCGCTCTTTTGCCGAACGCTCAGGTACGGAAGATGAAGATGATCTCCCCCACCAACAGGGAGGTGGACATCGGCCAGACCCTTGGAGACGACGAGTACATCGGTATGGTGCGACGGGAGGTAATGGACGGCTTCATGCGCGACAGGGCGATAGAGAAGGTAATTATTTACTTGGAGGTGTCCTGAGTGAGATCATTCGATACTTGTGACCGAACGGGGGCTTCTATGGAATTGCCATGAGCATTAGCTTACAGTAGCTTTTACCCGAAGTACATTCAGACGGAAACCGCAAACAAACGGAAACCCTTGTCTGACGGCGAATTGCTGCTTTGTCGTATTTTCAGGGAGCTCACGCGATCAACGGTCTGGTGAACGACATTGACGTCCCCGCGGACAAGGACAGTGGAAAGTACAAGATCCACTTCGCGCGGTACGAAAAGGGATCCAGGAAGGGTGTGCAGGACAGCGAGGAGTTTGACCTCATCATCGGCTCCGACGGCGCCAACTCCCGAGTCGCCAAGGTGAGGCAAAGCCCTTCCAGGCCAAGGACCTCGTTGTTGAATGATCATGGATGCTCTACTCGTCGTGCGCGCAGTGTCAACATGCATGCGAACAGCCCCACGATAGCTGTGTTTTGTCATCCCCTGAGATTCTTTGTTGTCTTTTCTTAGATGTCGTGATGCATATTCAACTTGTCATGCCCGCAAATCGGCGTGATGCAAACCGCCGACCCGCGTGGACTGTGTTTTGTTCTCAGCTGAGAATTTTGTTTGGTCTTTCGCTGCTGTGGTGCTCGGACAGGCCATGGACGCTGGAGCGTACAACTACGCCATCGCTTTCCAAGAGCGCATCAAGATCTCGGAGAAGAAGATGGAATTCTATGAGGTACAACAACTTAGTCTCCCTGCCCTTTCTTCATTTGTGCATCCCTCCTGATTCCATGCATACCCAGATGACGGGAGACACAGAGGAGCACGCCTACCGAATGTGGAGACGATGACCAAGTTCTGTTAAACACCGGTTATGGATGATCCTCGTTGTGCAGAGATTTTTAAAGTGAATAAATATCTAGTCTGAAGATGGTCATATCAATGGTGCTCACTACCATGTGGTACCATATACTCCTTGCTGAAACTGTCTTGTCCTTCCAGGAAATGGCGGAGATGTATGTGGGTGATGACGTCTCCCCCGACTTCTACGGGTGGGTGTTCCCCAAGTACGACCACGTCGGTGTGGGCACCGGTACCGTCGTCAACCGACCAAAGATCAAGGACTACCAGGTTCGTCCCGAGTGCCAGTACCGAGTAGCGTCAGTTGACTAGGTCGCGCTTGTTTCACGAGAACTCGGACCATTTTGGTTATTTGTTCTGCGATGTAGTGCTGGAACAGTATCTTCTTACATATTTTTTCGAAGGACATTGTTGGAGTTAATCGCGCCGAATAGCTTTTGAGGTCGTTAAGACATTGCTGTCTTTGGATTCAAGGCGCTTGTGAAGTTGTGTTGACAAACCCGCGCTTTAGGACCCGAATTTCCGCTCCATCCCCACGGATTGTCTCGGCACCGTCCAACCCACGTGCAGGACGCCATCCGCAAGCGCGCGGGTGAGAAGATCGAGGGGGGTAAGATCATCAAGATCGAGGCGCACCCCATCCCCGAGAACTACCGCCCGAGGCGCGTGGTGGGCCGTATGGCGCTCGTCGGAGACGCTGCCGGGTACGTGACCAAGTGCTCCGGGGAGGGAATCTATTTCGCCGCAAAGTCTGGCCGCATGGCTGCCGAGGCGGTCGTGCAGTGCATCAAGCAGACTGGCAAGCTCCCCACGGAAGCGCAGCTCAAGAAGACCTACCTCAAGGACTACGACAAGCTCTACAAGCCGACATACCTGGTCCTCGACATCCTCCAGAAGGTGAGATATTGGTTGGATACCACACAACCATGGGAGGCATTATGTTCACTCCGAAAGTTGAAAAGAATGCTCGGGAGCACCAGCTACCTTGTGCGACCCCGGGGTCGGTCCTCGTTTAGATACTGGATGCATTGGAGTTGGCGAAATCTGTAAATACTTGTCGTCGTGTATTGCTGCTACCGACCATACCTGCGTTGATTGCTGCTTCTAACGCATGTCCATGTGTCTTACTTGGAACTGTTGTATTTTCTTCGAAAACCTCAGGTCTTCTACTCGAACAACGCGGCAAGGGAAGCGTTCGTGGAGCTGTGCGAGTCTGAGTACGTCCAGAAGGTTACGTTCGACTCCTACCTTTATAAGAAGGTTTGTGCCGAACGTCGAACCAAAAAATGACGCAGTCGTGTTTCCTGTACGTTGGGCCCCTCTCGATTTCGGAACCTTAGTGTTGGGCTCAGGTGCGCAATCTTCGCTTGCTGAGTTGTTCGTGTCGGATGTGAGCATCGTCCTGCTCTCGGTCTGTTCCGCCGCGGCTGAGCAGTTAGTGATCCTTCGCCTCTTTGTTCAATGAACTGTGTGATTATTGTCTTCTAATATTTCTCTTTTACCTTGTCTTCATTTCGTACGATTTGACCAGGTCCAAGGCAACAACCCCGTCGAAGACCTCAAGCTTCTGTTCGGCACCTTCGGCTCCCTCATGCGCGGTCAGGCACTCGCACCCCCGGACGTGACCTTCTCCAACCCCGTAGAGTCGCTCAAGCGCCTGTAAAGCATTTTTATTGTTACATACGCTGGAAAGGTTTTGCCGTATGTTGCCCCAGGCCTGATCACACCCTAGGCATCGGACCATAGACGCTAAAGACGTGTCGCGCCATCAAATAGAGGTCATCCGAGGCTAGTTGGTGATGCTTTGCATCGGGTGGTATGGCCTTGTGTATTGAAGAGCCCATCACGTTACGCAACAGCGCTGGAGAATGATGGGCGAGGAACGACTTGAAAGGGTTGGGGGGCGCACGGGCGCAAAATATTTCGGCTGTCATGGGGCTCTTATGTCCTCCATTTTGTCTCATTGGCGGTTGTCCAGGCTTTTACATGGGACCTCCAGTGGTGGCATTTTAAGGTGTTGTGTTCGTGTACGCCCATGTTGGGGAATTTCTACATGGTGTTGAAACGGCTTTTACTTTTCAGTTGACGACCGAGGTAGGTAGTTTTGTGCCGGGTGATTCTTTTTGTAGTTGCGTCACGGGGGGTGATCATAGCCACCTCTCGCCGATGAGTGAGTTTTTTGTCGCAGTTGTATTTTGTCTCTTTTATTTCTGAATTTCAATTAACATCGAACTTGATTTATTTCGGCATCTGAGCTACAAAAGCCACACACATTCGACAATTAGCGGAGAAAACGAGGGTGACGCACACCGACATGATTCGTCAACGGTGCAAACCTCTCGTGACAATCACCACGTGTCCATCAAGTGTCAAAGCCCTCAACACACTTTCTCAACGTGAACCTCGCCGAAGGGTCTTGTTCTCTGTTGTTGAAATGACAGTTCAACCTGTCGATTTCGAGGAAACACATATCTGCGAGGACGTCGACGTCTCTCCTATGTAGAGCGAGTGGGTCGTTCTGTTCGAACAGATCATCAAAACCTGGTATCATGGTTGCAGGTCGGGTTGGGATTGGTCTGTCGCAGGAGCGAAAGTCAAAACGAAAATCATTTTGCTGTGGAAACGAGTGATTCGTGAGGACAACACTTAGAAGTTGGTCCGTGACCGCGGAAGGTGTCCGTTTCAGTTGGATAGGTGGAGCTCGGCGATCGGCACGGTTGGATACCTATGTATGTTGAAGACAACACAAAAACGACGTAGGCGAAGGCAAAAAGAACGGCTTAACCTCCTCCCGATAAAAATTACGGAAAGCGCGACAGGAGGATAAATCACTGCATCAGGCACAACGAACAATATTACTTGAAAGGAAAAATTCAACGCCTTCGACCCCGGCCGACAAGTCAACCATTTTCTACACCGAAATGCGTGCCGACGGCGCCATTAGATGAGAAAAAAAGATGCACACACACGCACAAACTTTGGGAGACCGACAGCACTTTGTATGGCAACAAGACGCAGGAGAAAGATCGATGGATAGAGTCTTACTCGCACGACAAATGACACTCCGTACCGCGTGACAAGGCACCTTCGGCTCATTAATGGTGGGATAAATTGGGTTAGGTCTGTCTACGCCTATCTGCCTATCATCTAGGTTTGGATGCCGTGCTTAGTGGTAACAAAAATACTCTACCCCCGACAAGTCCTCCACAATGCCCCGCCCTCTTACTCGTGGGTGCCCCACATCGTTGATTAGTGGGCTTGGCGCAGCTTTTACAGCTTGGAAATCGAGAGCGACTGGCAACTCCGAGAAAGGATTTCGACGAAACTTCAATCCCCCTCACCGTTAACTGTATTTCCTTTCCCCGCCCTCACTCCTGGTCTTTCGCAGGAGCGCAATGAATGTTCGTCCTGGTAAAAAACAGTCACTTCACACACATACCCTTCCTGTATAATGGTGGCAGAAGTGCTCACCTCTTTACTACACATCACACACACATACATACGCAAACGCGTGCAACCTTTTTTCACCCCATGATCTTGGCAGGCCCTACACAATCAATCCTATACACAGAAAAATACCCCTTTCTGAACCTGTCTTGTACAACACACTTCTACCGCGACACAAGGCAATTTATCTAGTCCAGGTCGGGACGGCTTCCCACTACCGCTACTACTACTGGCGATCGATTTGGTGTTGGCTGGGCCGTCGGTACGGCGTTCTGCCAGTCACAGTGGGAGGGGGGGGGGTCGGTTTCTTCGGAACCGTGAACTCGTGCATCTCCAGGGCGCGCAGTTCTCTCCTTTCGCGATCGCCGATAGGACTGATGGCCCCTGAAATTTCGCCCGCGTGCCCCGATACATGACGGCGTTGCTTATGCATCGGCACGTCGAGCCGCATTGACCGCTCGTCGTCCATCATTGCATCCATGTGTGCGTCATCGGCCTCGTATGAGGGGGGCAGCTGCGTCAACGAACAAGAATTCAGGGTCGGGTGGGGATTGATTGGTGGCGGAAGGAAGGGAATAGGCAGTCATCGCTGCTGCGGTGATGGAGAATGCAAACATATGGCTTAGGCAAATGGATGGGATTGTTCCTGAGCTCTCTGATGTACGTAACAGTGAGAAAAATACGAATCAACGTTCGTAGCCGAAAGGGGGACCCAAACCTACACCTGATGCCGTGTCCCCACCTTCCGCGGGGGCGGCGGGTCAGTCCTGTCTCCCTTCATCTCCTTCCACGTCAGCAGACGTTCCCCTTGATCCTGGTTGAAACTTTTGCACGCTCGCCGGCCGCTCCGAAGAACGGCAGCGGGCGACAAGCTTTCAGGGACATCCTCGGTACCGTACGGCGGCGGTGCGCGAGCGATTGGCTTGGTGGGCCATCGGTGGTGGACCCATGGGGGGGCTGGCTCGTGAGTCGCGCGGTGCCTCCATGACACACTTTCTAGGTCTCCTTCTTTCTGCAGAGACCGTTCCTGATGGATACAGGATTCATTCCAGGACAAGAAGGGCAAAAAAACAAAGCGTTCACGAAATTACTATTTCAAGTCGGAGAGATGAGAGGGAGCTGGTGACGGCACTCAAATACATCGACAAGAGTTAGGTTGGCTGAAACAAGTTCAAGTGCAGTACCATCCCAAGTAGCAAAGAAACGGTGTGTGTGTTGTTTGTCACCATAGTCCCCCTTGGTTTCGCTCACAACCAGAACCGCTCGCTCTCACCATGGCCCTTTGGTAGTTGCTCCAAAGAACGGCCTTTTCGTTAGCTGTGAGTTCGTTCATCTGCATGACCGTGCCAAGGTCGTTCGTCAAGCGAGTCCCCGGGGGAGGTCTTCGCTTATGCATCTTCGGTAGCTTGAAAGGTTGCCTTCCTTCTGCCGCAGACTGAAAAGACGTAGACAACGGCATGGGTGGGGGAGTTGGAGTCCATCGACTATTTAGGGAAAACCATTCATGGTATACAGGCGGCGTTGCTGTTGTTTTAGATTAAGGGAACAACCCCACAGTGGGAAGAACAAAGAGCACAAGCACTAAACGGCTTATTTTTACATCCCCCATCCATACGTCGATCGTGCAACCCGACTGTTCCTCCATTGACGCATGACGATACCAAGCAAACATCCTTCGACCGTCACGTCGCCCCCTTTCTCTCACCAATACGTCCTTGACCAGGCCAGGATCCTTGTATAGACCAATGGCTCCCAGCCCTCTCCTCGGTTCTGGCAGATTCACTTCGGGAGCATTTGGTCTAGCGAGGAGAACGAACGCTCCTCTGAGAGGATCGAACGTTGCCTCTCTCGCTACCAGTGAGGCCCCTTTCACAAACGTCGCCGGAGGCATGGGTTTCATCTGCTCCAGGAGAGGGTTACGACCTGAAGAGCGGCAAAGAAGTGGGGGGGTACAAGTGTTGAATCGGTGTGATTTGTTGGTACAGTGCCTGTGCAAAGGGTGCCACAGCCCGTCCACTACGCACGCACACCCGCCAGCGCAAAAGCCCTGCTTTTCCCAGGTCACCATCATTCCTGGATTGTGCAGTAAATAATACGGTATGATACCAGGTACACAGAATTCGTGAACATCAAGTTTGCACGTTGAGGATGAAGGTGGATTTTGATCAAAACTACCGTATATGACACAAGATAACACACCCCCTGGACCGATTTTCAAAGCTCGATTTTTCAACAGCAGCAACAGTCGCAGGGCCGAAAACGGCGGCGTTGAAGCCGTCTGGTCGACAGCTCTCTGAAAATGTATCCTTTCATCCATGCATCCTCTTCGTCGTGAAGTAATCGAGCTCTGAAAATCGGTCCAGGGGGTGTGTTATCTTGTGTCATATACGGTAAGCAGGTTTTGTCAACATTTTCAATGATGACATGGTAAATCCCTCGCCGATTTGGAATGGTTCATCTCTTGAAATTCGAAAAGAAAGAAACGTTGGACATATATAATATATCTGAAGTTTGTGAGAGAGCCAGGATTCAAATCTTACGACGGGTATCAGCAGTTAGCCGGCATCAGGACCCACCGTATAGTGTGGGGACACACCGTGTGGGACCTATCTATGCAGGGGGTAATGCAGGAGTAGTAAAAAAGGACACTTTTTACAAAACGTAGGCAGGCTCTCTACCGATTTGAAACGAGTCAATGAAGAGACTTGCGCGAACGAGGGCTGTCTTTGTTGTGGGTATGCAAGCATTCGGCATATGTGGGACGTCTAAGTTTGGTGATGAATTTGGATTCATGTGCGTACAGCCATGCATAGGTATTTGGTACGAAGTTGCTATACTTCGAGGTATGTTCTAACACCAAGAAATGTGCTGTTGCGACTCTCACTTGGCTTCCACACGTTGGAGTGATCTCGTCTTTTGCCAACGTATGCCCTTGGTTCCGCTCGAGGCTGTGGTCGTATCACCTTTCTACCCATCCTCAGCTGCCCCTGGTTATACCGGCCGCAGAACAGCGAACGAACTGTTGAGTGATAGACGACGCGACGCCCAGGATAGACCCCGCTCTACACACACACACATACATGGTTGATCCCATCTACACTGTACTACTGCTGCTGTAGGCTTCGAGAGAATCGGTCAACAATACCCCACAAGAAAATCGGTCAACAATACCCCACAAGAATGGAACCTTCAGACTGATACATGTAATTCCAGCGACCCGGTAGGAACCAAAGCTGTAGGTGGTGCGTCCTGTGCGTGTGTTATTGTCATGAGCACTTGTACCACAGTATACACACTTACGGCGGGGGGAGTTTGGTGTGTGTGTGTGTGTTTGTTCAAGAACGATGTGAGAAACCGGACTACATGTCGTGTACATTCATTATGTACAGCATCTTCTGTTGTTACAAGCATTCCGCAGCTCGAATGGACTCGTGCAAAATCGGGGGTCCAATACGCGCAACACTCTCCGCCAGCCTTAATGACACTAGACAGCGAAAAACCTGGTAAAAGCTCGAGGAAAGAGAGGTGAAGAATGCATCTCCAGGTGCGAGGCGTTAACGTCTTCTTCATACTCTCTACCGTGAATATTATCACACGTCAGTTGCTTGTTGGCGTCCAAGGAATACATGCAAAGACTCCAACACTTCCCCTTCGACTGTGGTTATATGTCGAACGGGTATACAGACTGACATCTATTCGGCGGAGATAAACCTGTTCCACCAGAGGCGGACCAACACGCACACAATACCAACCCACTGCGATGCCAGCGGTTCACCGCCTACAATGCGCAAAAGCAATACCTTGATTCACCTCAGCGTATTACGCCAGGCCTCGACTTATTGTGCAGAACATACGAGAAGCCTCTCTCTGGGTAAGGCTCGTCGGGGGGGGGGGAGAGAAAGAGAAAAAGGGAGCTCCCTGTGTACCGTGCGCGCACGTTGCGCGATGGCGGCTGTTGTGCCGGTTCGGAACATCCATGCGGCATAATTAGACGCCACCACAGAGGGCAGCCGAGGACTTACTCAACCTTTCTTTTGCTGTGGGTACTACCACGGGCTACACTGCTGCTTCTTTTGCTTCTGTTGCTGCTACTTCTGCTTCTGCTCCCCATTTCCACAGCGGCTGACCTCAGCGCCAGACTGCTCTATGTGTGGACTATGTAATGTACTGCTGTAGTGTCAGCCGGTAGACTAGATACGCCGCCCATGGGTAGTAGACTAGAGACTACTACTGCAGGCTACAGATCACGGCGTCAGAGTCATTTGCCAGTTGTAAGACTGAAAAGCATCAAGTCATCCACGTCCAAGGAGTTGCCGAAGGATGACAAGGTAGCAAAGAGGGAGGATCAGCCTGCCGGCCATGCATGGTATTTTGAACAAAAAAGAGTGACGAGCAGTCCAGTTGGTTAGTTAGGAGATTCGGAGAGAAGATCCACACGGCAGCCAATCCCTGCATATTCTAAGGCTGCGTATTACCAAGGGGTTTGATCGACCTCACACCCGACACACAGTGCCTGGCCTTGCATAGAATGATCATTTATGCATAGAGCCGGTCGGTTCAAGCACAAATAATTGAGCCGGAGCTACAGTACGGCGGGGTACAATAGAGCGATGATCAACATTTGTTCGGCTTCAGAATACCTCAGTCTACATGTGTGTTTGCTCAACCTCAATCACTGCAACCACGCTTATACGTGTAGAAGAACAGATTCTGTTCTGGGTCGATGGCCGCCCGTTGCTAGAGATGTGGATGGCCACCCGTCTCTTGAACAAAGAACAAAAAAAATATAATACGCCATGTTTATCCCCCCTGAATCAACACGATGCACATGCGATGCTACTACTATGTAGTAATGCTGTTTCCAAGTCTTCCCAAGCGACCAAAGGAAGGGCATCACACAGTTGGTACAGAAGGAAGAACGTGAAAATTATTCGTCAACCCTAAGTGGTATGCCCTTGTTGTCTTTGTAGAGATTGTAGTGCTTGATGTTTAGATGCTTGTTATCTCTCACACCCGGCTGGGGGGAAAGAGCAGGGAGTGCCACGCGCACGCCAGCTGACAGCAGCTGGCGTGGGGGCTCCGCACAATCATTCTCTGGTCGTACTACCCAACGCATACCTATCTGCAGTGCACCTGAAACAGTCATCTCGTCTACAGATCCGACTACATACGCACTCACACGAACACCCTCCCTGGTTCTTTACACTAAAGTAACTAACCACTTCTTCTGTGGGATACGTGCTTCCGCCACCTCAAGTCAGGTTTTTTCCGCAAAAACAACAAATCAATAAAAACCTAAGGGGAAACCCGGCCACCGGGTCAAAACCCCTCCCTCCCAAGTATGGTACTACTAAAAAGCAAGATAGAGACGCAAACAGGATAACTCCGACAACGTCATCGATCCGGGTAACCTTCCCGCCACGTTTCAATATCACCTTCTTCCCTAGTACCCAACAAAGTCCAAAAAGTCTGCAGCCACTGCCACGATTTTACTCCCACAAAGCCCAAACAAAAGTCTGTTGCGATTTACTCCTACTGCCCTCCCCGCTCGACGAACAACTATCGATGATCTGAGCACCTAACTTCCTCCCTCCCCCTTGATTCCGGCGCATCGCGTCGCCCCCGGGGTCGGTGGTAAATGCTATCATCCCGCGACAGCTGTTTTGTCAAACACATCAAGCCTGATAAGCCTTCTTGCAACAACTCTTGCTCCGACTCTCAGAAATTCAAACTTCAGCCTGCTCACACACAACTCTTAGACTCTCAGAAAAAACAAAGTTCCAATTCTCAACCGTCATACAGCACGCGTCGATATGGCTGCTCTCCCTCACTCGAAGAAAACTGCGGTCCATCATGTCGTGCGATAACCTCCCTCGCTCTTTGCTGCGAGTGGTACGCCACACACAATACCTCCTTCATTCAACGCTCGCGGAAAACACGCTTGACTATATACTGCATCGAGAACTTATCATTGCTGAGGCTTCTTTTCCTCCTACAAGACAAACACAGTGATTCTCATCATGGGGCTTCTCCCCTTCTACAAGACAAACACTGATATAGATTGTGGAGACGCCTTGCTGCTGCGAATCCCTCAATAAGGTGGATACGTCTGGTACATGGGTCCACACCTACCTGCAGCAACAACGGAAATGTCACCCACAGCAGTATAACGGTGTCCTCCCCTCCCCATTTCCACCTCACGCACACAAGGTGATATATCTGGTACATGGGTCCACACCTACCAGCAGCAACAACGGAAATGTCACCTACATTTGTGTCCTCCCCTCCCCATTTCCACCTCATGTTGACGCCAGCACAATTTCACCTACGCCGGTGTCTGCAACTTTTGATACACCGGGTCCCGTGTACCCCCTTTTTGTCAGCCGACACGCTGGATACTGTTTTACCCCTGTGCGTGAGTTTTCATCGACCGCGGGGAGCGCCTGTGCTGCATCCCCTCCTTTGATACACCGGATCCTGTGTACCCCTTCTCTTCAGCCGACACGCTGGATAGTGTTTTACCCCTGTGCGTAAGTTTTCATCGGCTGTCGGGACCGCCTTTGCTGCATCCCCTCATCTAATACACCTGGTCCTGTGCACCCCTTCTGTTCAACCTCCACGCTAGATACTGGTTTACCTCTGTGCGTGAATTTTCATCGGTTGTGGGGAGCGCCTATGCTGCATCCCCTCGTTTAGTACGCCTGGTCCCGCGTACCCCTTTTATTCTGCCCCAGACAAAGTTTTCATCGCCCGCGGACATCATGAAATGGAAGCGCCTGTACCGCGAATCCCCATCATAGAGCGGCTGGTTTTTGGAGCCGAATTACCATCGTCGTACGAAACACCCGCGATAGCACGCCTGGATTTTACCATCGAAAAAGACGAACAACAATTGCTCAACAAAACACCCACACTCAAGAATGGAAACGCCTGAACCGCGAATCCCCTTTCGAAATCATCGTTGGTCGTATCATCGTAAGCGAAGCTACTATCACTCTACGAACACCAAATCAGAAAATGGAAACGCCTTAACCGCGAATCCCCTGTAGAAACTTTCGGTATCATTCGTCGCAAGCAAAATCATTCAATATCACTCACGAACTCAACCAGAAAGAAGCGCCTCGCGGTAACGCCGCGTTGTTGTTGGCCCTCGTTCAAAAGCATAGCAGATTTCGCGGTATCGCCCTTGCTCCTCTGCGGCAATTCCACGTTCACCAGAATCGCCATGACTGCAATCCTCCAGTTCTCCCGGTGCGAGTACTTTTCCCGCGATCAACAGGCTCGTGTGTTGTGCCGCCCGCTACTCCACCGCCGATGCCGCCGCCCCTTTGCTGCCATTGTAACTAGACCGGTCCCAACAGGTCGCTCATGTTTGTGGCCCCGGAGGATTACCCTCCAGGCTCCACCTCCTGACACCTCGTCCCGTGTGCCCGGGGCAGTCAAACTATCCCCAGCAGCGCCTCTGCTAGAGCTGCCAACCGTACAGAGAAAGTCGATGGTCTGGAACCCACCAAAACCACCATTTGCAGGGACGTCAAACGCCCGCACCGGTACACCTTCTGTGCCCGATCTACTGCTGCTCTCTCTTCCAGCGGCGTCATCTGTTCTAACGCCAGCCGCAGCGTGCAGCTCTGATAGGCAGCTGCCTGGCGGCGAGATTCCAACAATCCCACCGCAGGATGCGGCGCGTCTTCCAGCACCGCCTGGCCCCCCTCGGCTTTCGCAATCTGTTATTGCCTGCAGCAGCGATGACATCGTGTCCATCACCCCCTGCATCCAAAATCCCTGCGCATTGCTTCCCAGCGGGGGGCCAGCGGATGGGTGGCCCGGGGGACCTACCCCCCCGACTCCACCGGGTGGCACCCCAAACCGTGTGCCCGGCGCGGCTCCTCCGCGCCCTGCGGCGTTGCCAGCGCCGCTTGACTCCCCCTCTTCTGCCCCCGCCGCCCTGGCAGGCGGCATCTGAAGTTGCCCTAGCTTCTCCATGACAGCCGACAGCACCTTGCTTTGCTCCTCGAGCTTCGTGGACAGCTCCGCCACGCGCGTGTCGATCGTGGTTCCGCCGCTGTCGCTCTCTGGGGTGTCGCCAGGCATAATCTCCGCAAAGGGGCTCCTTCGAAGGAAACTCTAGAGTATTCGTCAACCCTAAGTGGTATGCCCTTGTTGTCTTTGTAGAGATTGTAGTGCTTGATGTTTAGATGCTTGTTATCTCTCACACCCGGCTGGGGGGAAAGAGCAGGGAGTGCCACGCGCACGCCAGCTGACAGCAGCTGGCGTGGGGGCTCCGCACAATCATTCTCTGGTCGTACTACCCAACGCATACCTATCTGCAGTGCACCTGAAACAGTCATCTCGTCTACAGATCCGACTACATACGCACTCACACGAACAAAAATGACATGCCAAACAAAATGAATGCCGACACTAGCAAACGAAACGAACACTCAGAGAAACAAGAGGTGTGTGGGTCCGCCTCTTCGAATAAATGGACGGCAACTGGACCCTCTCTACACTCGCATCGCACATCGGATCAAGACCGGGGGGCTACTCGAATGCAAGATGATAATCGGGACAGAAGTGATGAGCGCACATCAAACAGCCTGTACGCCTGTCCGTTTCGGGGACACGCAGCGGAGCGTCGAGTCATAGCATACACTGAACTGTAATCGGTCTCCAAGGAATTCCGGAGTAGTACTGATAATCTACATATCGCATGCGAAAACGAACAGTGCAGCAGAGGCTACAAACCCTTCGTGAAAACGATATCGACGTGACACCACACGCTACCATCGGTTTGTTAATGCTCCCTGCTTGTCGCTACACTGCACCACAGCTGCCTAGGAGCAGCGCTGCGAGAGAAGTGACGTTGACAGTTTCTTGACCAATGGCACATCATCGAGAAAAACTCACACACAAAACGCATCGAAGAGCGACATCATACCCATTTTAACTTCAAAATATGTCGAGAACAACAGAACAAATGACCACGGCCGTGGGGATATCCCGACGATCTGGAACAACAATAAACCACCATCGAGACGCAAGGTGTGAGAAGAATGAAGAATGTGACGATCAGTGTGCTTAGCTGGGACAGGAGGAGCGCTACGAGATGGGACATACTGGAACTTCTCACCACGACGTTGAAGCACGTCGAGGGAACAAAACAAAAAAACATAACGAAAAAGGTTAGAACACACAGCAGTCGATCCGCACCAATCGGGTATATGGTGATCTTCGAGGGGGGAGGAGGTGGAAGAGGTCAGCGCCTTTCAGTTTCTAAGAACCAAAACGTAAGACGCTCAATCAACAAGTGGATCAAACTAGATAACAACCTAATACTTCAACACACCGAAGATTACACTCCATAAGGTGCGCTGCTACTGTAGAAGTTTGCGGCTGGACCAGAATGCCACATTGTGGCGCTTTGTCTCTGTCCAGGAAGCAGACTAAGCGGCCTGGCATATACGTCGACAGAGGAGGAGCGGGGGGCAGGGGCCGTGGGAGCGGGTGGGGCCAAGTCGTCGGCTGGCTATTCGTTGACGACTGACTCATCAAGTCAGACCGAGCACCTTTTGTAATCTTGCCATGATGACTTTCAATGTTGAGGCATATTGCTGCTGGAGTTGAGCGCCACATGGTCGGCGGAATAGAGCAGTATGTGGATCTTGTACCATGACTATTAGTGCTGTGGCGACTACTGCAGTACATTTGTACCGCCGTCTGGCAAAGGTAGGATGCCCAAAATTGTTCCACTGCCGAAAAACGAACCTGTATGTTCAACCCCTTCAGGTTGGTATCGGATGCCCCCGTCGTATTTATGATGCAGAGCTTGAACACATGTGACCCAGCGGGGAGAGCAACTTCAACCTGGGCATGCGCGTGTAGGAGGGAGAGGGTAATCCATGTACGAAACAGATATTACTGGCAAGTTTCGTTTGGACCACCTCTCGAAGAACTTGTCTCTGGTAATCCATTCATCCATGCATTCGTTCTACCCATAAAGTTCCGCTTGGATCACATCTGCTTTGTTGATGAGCAGAGCACTGGAAAAGAAACAGATGAACAACTACCGGCTGCTGTTGTAAAAATAATCAAACTAATGTTTTGCGCCTATCCAGTATTTTTTTTTCCATGTTGTTGGTTGTACCGGCGGCACTACGACGTTTTCGTTCTTTATCGTACCCAAAACGAGCAACACGACAAGGACAATATGTAAGTAGTCACAACACATGCTTGTGTCTCAAGGCACAACAACAGTTTCACACCGGGATAGTTTCGGTCCAAACATCCCAGCCGCCAGAGGAAGGCAGGTTGGTGCCGTAGAATACCAAGCTGTCCTTGAGGTTGTTGTCGCAAGCGTCGTCGGTTCCGTCATCCAGCGTGATCGAGAGCGCCGTGCTGTTGCCTAGGGTAGAGTACTTTGCTGCCACGTTGAATAGCCCGCTGTCCGACGCATAGACGGTATACTTCAGCCACTCTCCTGTGTTACAAGGGACATGGGACCAGATTTCTTTCTGCTGCCTTTCTCAAACGCACTTTTGAGACGGTCAAACCCTCTTTACCAAAACTGAGCGAGAAAGCACGTCGAAGGATTAATTACGCTGTAGAACGACTCAGCAAAGGTCCGGTGTGGTCTGTACAGAGCTTGACCCGCTGCAGATGTTTTGCTATATACGAGTAGGGGAGGCAGCTGGGAAATAGGTATGGACAAGGGCGGACTCTACCGAAGAATACAAGCTCACAAACGCTCTGCACGGGTGGTTTAGCCGACGGAGGTACCGTGAATCGCCTACACAGACGACCAACAATTGCCTGGAGTGCCGTAGGCGACGTGGAGGCTTCCGTCCCATCCAGCCTCGATATCCACCGATTCATCAGTGCGAAGCCCAACCAATCCCAGATTCCCTTTAGTGTCATCGTAGTAAGCGACGCCCTGCAAGAGGGTGCGGGATGTCATGCTCGTGTTATTCTTGCCCAACAGGTTGAAAAATGACCACTAGCCTGCCTACCCCATGCAATTGTCGTCCTAATGCCGCACTCACGTTGCCCCCTTCGTCGAACTTGTAAGCCTCCACGAAACCGGGGATGGAAGTCTTGACAAACCCGTACCATTGACCCTCCGAGCAAACGCAGTCGTCCTCGCAAGACATGCATCCCTCGTCATCGCCCACGTCACACCTAAAATAGTTTTCGGTAAGCAACGTGCCGGGTGCTGTTTTGGCTTTCTTCGGAAATCTTCGACTGAAATTCCTTCTCCCCCTCACATTCTTGACACTATATGTTGCAAGTGTAGCTGCCATGTGCTTCGTTCAAGCTCACTTTCCGTCGTCGTTGCAAACCCCGCTGGTCTGAAGATCGAAGGAAATCTTGTCCAACGTGAAACCTCCGGTTGCCACGCATACTCGAATACTGTGTTGCCCCGCTTGCAGACGGGTCTATTTGAGGCAAGCAGGTGAATAGCACACGGCGAAAGGCGGCGTGAAAAGGGGAGGGGATCTACGCGGGGAGACGATGAGGGGAGGAGGGTCGTTGTAGTGTAAGAAAGGCGTGGCATTCGCGATACTTGCGCATGGATGCTGCATGTTTAGCGTAACAAACACCTTCAGAGATAGATGCACATAACGACGACCAACAATGGTTCTTGAGCGGGGCGGGCGGGGAACATCTTTCGTCACAAGCAGCGCTTCAACAAAATAGCAGGGTAACGTCTCACCGTGAAAGGAGCCGTTCTGGAGAACGGTCCAGCCTCTCCTCCACTGTCGGGCATGAGCAACGAGCCGAGGAAGGTGCCTTTGCCCTCCTTAACGTCGCAAGTATAGGTGTCCAGGAAGATGACGGCCTGTCCGGTAGATGCTGACGCGTAGCGAAGCGTTACGTTGTAGTCTGACGTAACCGATACCTTGCAAAATGTCCGACAGAGACGGCAAGCACGGGTCATGGTTTTGTTGTTGTGATGCTCATCGTGAAACCGGTTACAGGTTTGGTACTCATCGTCAAAAGGACATCTTGTGAATACACCCAGGTCTAGGCAAGCTCTCAAAACATCCTGTTTTGAAACCGCACTGTAGTTAACTGCGTTCAGCACGACCTACAGTCAGACCAAGCACTCGTCTCTAAAGCACCACCATCATGCAGAAGTGCATACTAAAGTACGAACTGTATCGTTGTACAGAACACTCACCGTAACAGTGTATGTCAGCCATTCGCCAATGCTGGTCCATCCCCAGCTAACGGTGCCATCAGCATCTCTGAGCTCCACGAGACCCTCCTTGGATGATTCGTTCCTGTATTCGCTTAGCATTCCCTGAACCTGAGTGCAGTTCTTGGTCTCACTCGACACGCATTCGTTCTCGTGGAAACCCACCCCCTGCGCACCCGTGATGTCGACGGTGGACAATTGACGCAGAGAAATACACCAGGTACCATGCGTTCAGACCGAGCAAAGAAGTCGAGCCCCATACACACCCCGGCTAAGGGTAACGTAAACAACGAGATGCGCACATGTGGTGTAGTGTTGCGGGAGTGTTGACAAAGGGCAGGAAAAACGCTACAAACGGTGCATCAACGTGTAAACAATGTGAAAACAACAAAGGCAACAACAACAACAATAACAATAACAACAAGTTCCGCACCTCTCCACCAATATCAAAGTCCTCGGCTTCAAGGTCTCCGGGCACCCGCAGCGGCACGTAGGCTGTAGGGCACTCTCCACAATCCTACGGCCACCCCAATGGGAGAATAATAGTCCATCCAGATTCAGGGTGGATAGATGAAACGTTACCGCGAGATCAGAACCGAGGAAAAGCGCGCTTCATTACTGTGCAACAGGTGTTGTGAACCGGCCGTGCACCCACACTTGGAAGGTGCGACTTTCGGCAATGCTGCATGCCCAAGTCTTTGGGTCCTAAAAACCTGATTGTTGAGCCAGTTTGGTACTCGAGGCGGCTAGATCCTTGTAAGAATTGTTTCAGATTACAATTGCCTGCATGATAGATCCACACAACTACAAATATAGTAAACGGTCGGGGAGGTCACCTGCGGACACGTGATGCATGTCTCCTCGCTATCGACCCACTGGCATACGCCATTGCTGCAATCAGACTCCCCGAATCGTAATAGATCAACGTTCACCTGCGTTTTCCGAACGTTTGCGGGTAAGAAGCGGACAGGATGGGGGTTGTCGTTCCCTAAATTGATTTGAAAGGAGTTCGACAGTAACGCTTGCCTCGAGTGAAAGATTCGGTTGTTCTTTGCCATTGGTCGGTGGATTCGAGGGTTGGTTGATTTTTGGGTGTGCCAGGGTGGTCTCGAGATTCGTTTCGGGTAGACGACTAGGTTGAACGAACTTCAGGGAACTGTTCGAAGGGGGCGGTTGGTTGTTGTTTTGAAAGGAGAACACAATCCTGTTCGAGTACACCACGATAACAAGAATGTCTGTTCGTCCTTCCGTTTCGTTGCCTTCGTTATCGTCGTCATCCCACTACCATGCCCCATTCAACCCGCTTTTTCTCTCATCGAAAACTTCGCAGAAGAAGCCCCGAGGCAGAGTTAGCGAGTTGCCAACGTCATGGTCGGTGACAACCTGTTATCTGTTGTTGGTACTTCTCCGTTCATGCTCGCAATGTTGAACAGCTAAGTTAGTGTGCATCGAGGCCGCTGCTCACCACGGCGTTCCCGATAAAACAGAGAGTCACCACGTGCGGGCCGGGGGTGAGAGCCACAGAGGCGTTTTTTGTCCAGTTCCAGTCGGAGTAGCTGCGCGTCTCCGGCAGGTTCGAGTTCAGCATGATCACCTGTCGACGAAGAGTTGTTCTGAGTTAGTGGGTGAGCGCGATACGATCGGTTGGTGGATCGGACGCGTACACTGACACATTCTACCCCACCGGCCATCACTGAGAGCTACCCCTTCTTCACGTCGACGATATCGTTCGCAAGTTGCAAGGAGATGTCAACCACTCTAGGTTCGTTATGCGTGCGTCGCGTGTCGCACCTGCTCGTCCCCCTCCCCGAGTTTGGGGCACTCTGAGGGGTCTTCCAGGTCAAGGCAAAGAGCGATGCCGTTCCAGTGTCCGAGAACAGCGTATCTGATTTACGTGATGTTCCCCATCACGATTTGGCGTGGTATGGCATCGTGCGACTTAGATTGGGACGTGATGTTACGTGATACAACATTGTGCAAATCCAGAACACGACCAATAAGTAACGTTGTTGGACGACCACTTTCGGCAATTCGACAACAGCGAATAATTGTTACAGCCAGGGTTGTGGAGTTTATTGTACGCAAATAAGGTGCAACACACGAACACAGCAGAACAGCCACAAACGGAACTGTGGCTTGTAGCACCAGAGTGGATTTTGCATGCCAACCGATCATTGACACCCCTACACATGTGGGAAACGAATCGAAACTCGGTACGAAACTTAGAGCTAAGCGAAGCGCTACACGTCGATGCATAAGTGAAACATTCGGCCTGTGTGTGTTCAACGATATCTCTTGTGTCACGGATGCCGTGCGTCCTCGACGTGTTACTACTTTCAGCAACAATGCATCTAAACTTGATTCTCAAAACACTCACGTCGAGCGGGAGTATCATACAAAGCTCAAAGCGAAGAATTTACCCTCACCTCACGGACACATCCTGCACGACGGTTTCGCTTCCGGGGTGCTGAACGGTGTAGGATATCCACTCTCCGGGTGCCGTCCAGGCCACATTAACAACCGTGTCCCCAATACGTTCCAGGTCAACACCCTCCCCCTGACGGCAGATGGTAGAATCGTTCGGTGAGCGGAGAAGGAGAGGACGGCGGAAGGTAGAGCATCATGGGGATCAAGGCATTGTGGCCTTGCAGCACGGCTGTGAAAGCATCAAGAGGGTGTCTTTTTGTCGTCTGGTAGAGAGCGTTCACTCGCCGCTGGTACTTTAGTTCTATGTCGTAGTGCGCCTACCTCTCGGAGCATTGATGCTCCCTCGTTTGTTGCGTTGGTATCATGGTAGGCTACGCCTTCTCCTCCGTCATCAAAGTCTTCCGCCTGCAGTGACCGAGGATATAGTAGAGAGCGAGAGCAAGAGAGACCAATACGAAAAATAAATCTACATCAGAGGTGGAGGGCTAAGAGTGTGTTATTAGAGAAAATTCAGCCAAGGTTGTTGGAGCAACGATGGGAGGAGCAAGAGTTAGACAGATAATATTGGAGGCATTGTGAGAGAGGAAAAGGTTTGACAGAGGGCGCGATACTTGTTCCTGTCTGCATGAGTACAATTGTTTTAGCATGGTTTCCGTGGGCAATCTGGTTTAGGGCTTGACTCGGAAATGTACAACCACCGGATGCCTGAAACACTTGCTCTTGAAAGCAGAAACCAACCTAATCCAATCCCCTCCGAAAGAAGACCCCACCAGCAGCGAACAGGCACCTGAATGATTCCAGGAACGGCTGAGGCGTTGGCATGGAACTGGACCTCTACCCCGACCAAGGGGACATCTTCCGGACAGAGATTTTCGGAGGGGTCCAGGCTGTCGGCGGACTCGACCACGTAATCGGTGGACTTGGCGGAGACAGTGTTGTTCACGGAGTTGTACGCCCGCAGGTATACGGTGTAATTCGATCGACCTACCGGTACCAGCAGCTGCAACCAGCACACACAGGCACGAAGAGGTACAGACGATCGGAGGTGGAAGACAAGACTCTCTGCGAGTTGCTAAGGTTTTGGGTCACCCCCTGGTGAAGGAAGGTCGGAAGGACATGGAGCAAAGGCAGGCAGCGCAGGCTAGGGGAACGGAGCTTCCTACAGACAATATCAGGGCTGCGCGTGGCCCCGAAACAGTTTTATTTTTCGATGGACCGTTCGGGCTGGGGTGATGGACTATCTACGGAGACAAGGTGAAGTCCCATGCCTCTGTGGACGATGACAGATCGGACAGGGCGGCCTTGGAACTCTGGTAGGTGCTGCTGTCGTGGTCTGGTGTTCTGACGTACGCAATGACGGTATCAATGCCTTCTTCCAAGACGCTAGCCCATTCCACCTGAGAGAAAGCGACCATATTAAGAAACACCGGTGTTTTGCGGATTGGGGCACATACATGTGTTATTCTCCGTTCTGATTGAAGCAGGTGGGCGCAGTTTATTCGAGGAGGGAGACGTGGTGGGAGGCACAACAACAAACAGGCCATGGGAAGACTATACAGTATGCCCTGAGACTTGTCGCAGCCTTCGTTGGATCGACATCGTGGTTTCACAAGAAACGTAGCAACATCTTTGTGAAATGTTAGACTATTGCTTACAGCATGGATCATCTAATCGACATTGACATTGACATTCTTCGAAAGTTAAACCCTGGTTCTCCCTGCACGCACCGCGATCTTCGTGTAGAAGCCTCCAATGGCGGCAATGACCGGGGGTGGCATGTCGCTAACGAACACAGGGGCGAGGACCTGGTACTCTGCCGCAATCGTGAGGCCATCGACGTCGACCTGCAAAACCAGTACAGAGGAACGACCAAGAAACCCAGAGAGGATCTGACCAAACAAGATAGTAGATACGGCATAGTCCGGTGCCGCGAAAGACCCAACGCCTGAAGCAAGAACAAACACCGCCAGTTGCTCATCTTGGCATAGTAAGCGGCACGCTCTACTCGGTTCGTTCGCGACCCACTGCCGTGAGCTACTGTAGCTGCTTCCGGTTCTCGCTCTATGTTCGTGTAACGTTCGAGGCGGGTAAATGACGAAAAGACACGGGTATCTTACTCCTTTCCGTACACTGTCATTAACCAAACTCTCCATCGGATGATTTTCACACTTGTTCTCACCCTCAAGTTGTTCAAAGCTGGGACCTTCACAATGTCGGTCGAGTTGTCGGGGTAGGTCACCACCCACCGGACAAACTCGTAAACCTACAGGGCGAGCGGAAAGAGTTGTTCGAGGAAGTTGGCCGTCGATAACACACGGGGTGCGACGAGTCTACACACCTAACCGACTTCGTCCGCACTACCCGAACCCTACCCTTACAGAACCCACGGAGTGATGTATCAGGGCCGGGCAGTAACCATTATTTGTTGCGCATGTTCTTGTGCGATATAATGGAGAGAACGAAACCGGGAGAATAATTGGAACCTGTGCTGCACCTCAACACAGGTACCATTACCATCACGTCTATGCTCCCTCCTGCTCCGTCATGGCGGGCAAGATACCAAGAAATCTGACAGTGATTCAGGTGGTATTTCGAAGCATACCTTCAGGTCTGTGGACTGGATAGAACTGGCCGCGAACGATGCCGCGTAGCCAGACATGAAGTCAGCGGTGCACGGGGTAAACTCGCAGATCTAACGACAAGAGAAACGAGACAAGACGTACCGAGGGAGGTGCAATGCGGCGAGACTTGACAGTACTACAGTGGTTTACGAGATGAAATGCGAGGAGCGACGCGATCAGTGAAAAATTAGTGTGAAAGGCAACCGTTAGGACGTGAATCTAGTCGACGATGCTCGACTTCAGAAGTTTCTCGTACGGCCGTACAGGATAAAACGAACATACGAACTGCTCACTCTCTATCATACCACAGAGACGTCGCTAAACCGGTACGCTGTGCAACCAAACATTACAGCATCGAATATGTCCAATTTTTCCAACGTAGCTGATAGCCAACAACAGATGGGTCGACAAGAAATTTCACCGAATCGAAGTAAGTAGCTTCAAGAAAGTGCGTCGTACGTGTGCGATCAACTTTATTGGTGTAGAAAACACTGCAGCCTGTATACGCAGTTCTTCCCCCATATATATCCAGTCGTGTTTTGGTTAGGGCTTGCCCGCTCATGCCAGATGCCGAGATTGAACGATGCAGAAATATTGCACGTGTTCGCACCTCGTCGCCGTAATAGAGTGCCAAGCCCGGAGGGACTGACGAAGTTGTTACCGTGCGCTTCAGGGCGGCGGTGGGCCAGTCGTAGTCAATGACCGTCGTGCCGAAAATCATCTGGGCCGAAATTATGACCTACACCAACAAGTTTCAGGGACATCTTCAGGAGCTCGATCGTGCTGAGGGTTCCTCGCCCTTGATGTCATGGGAGCGTTAACTTCAACTACACATGTGCCATGTTCCTAAGCATGTTTGACACTAGAAGCCGCTACGTGTCAAAGCCCCAATCCGACAACCTCTTGTAGAAGTACAGGGAAAGGTAGCGGAGGGCGCAGGTCATACGGACCGCCAATGCTACCATTTTTGAGCCTAATTCGGAACAACTTTTGTTGTAGGGCTGAAAGCCCAGGAGTCCTCTGCGCGTACACTTGCGGACATAGTACTCAATGTTTGTGTGAGTATCAGCTTCTGAGATGTCGATCTGATATTTGCGGGGATTCCCATCGATCTACAGCTTGCCTGAGAAGGAAGGGGGTGGGCGACAGACACGACCGAGCCAGACATGCCATCATCGGCAGTGTCGACACCCTGAAGACTGTGAATATGGCACCCGGTCTCCCCAGTGCACCTGGTCAATCAAATGAACAGAGAGAAGCCCCCTTTCAAGGTTTTCGGCGACTCATTCATTGGATTTCAGTATGGTAATCACGTAGTCAAAGGACACCAGAATATCTCGAATCAGCGCATCACACCCCAAACGTCCGACGGTCGTTAAGCCTGGGTGCCTCTATGTTCCTTAGACCTATCCATTTTGTCTGGCATGGGGTCGGAGAAGGCGGCCAGAAGAGGAATACTTGCTTCGTTTCATGTAACAAAGGTTTCCATCCTCACCTATTGGTGGTGCAGTGCTCGATTTTAGAATCCCAGGTGATTGTATCAGGTACGGTGGACGCCTTTGCTCGAGTAAGGTTGAACTGCTCAGCGGTGTAAGCGTGCGACAACACCACGCGCAACCATGGGAACGGCAGCTTGTGATCAAACCCAGGAAAGAAAATAAGAAGGGGCAAAAGAACGGAGCAGAGACAACATGATTTTGGCAATACCTGGCAGCTGTAGCATGATACATGGCTCCATGAATACATCTACCTCAGCCCCCCAACCATATGAGATTTAACCTACCTGTATGGTGTCGCCCACAACCCATTCTCCCGACTCAGGGGTCATCTCTAGAGAGAACGGCTCGCCCACCACCACAGTCATCGATTCCGTGCCTGTCAGACCCTCGCTGTCCGTCACGGTCGCCTGGGGTTCATGACAACGGTCAGGGTTGGTTGTAGTTATCGGCTCCGTCATCTTTGTTCTAGGTGGGCGACCGTCGTGTTTCGTCGCACCTTGCGTGCTGCAGGAGAACATCGGAAGGGCGATGGCAGTATATGGGCACGCGCATGCTTGTCACATCCATCCGCTAGCATGGAGACTTTCAAGGCAAACACGCGTTTTATTCTTAAAACCCCTCCTCCTTCACCATACCGAGGCAATAAATACGCCGTCATCGTTGTAGACGTGCGGGTGCGGGCCACCGCTAGACCCAGTGTATCCCTCGCTGCCGTCACCATATGATATCCTGCAGGGAAGATAAAGATATAGCATAGATTGTTTCGGTAAACGTACAACGTAACATACAATCAACCATACACGCGAGGCGTGGGGCTGAGTGAGAAAGGTTTTGAGTGATTCAAGTACGTACTTCTTTTTTTCGTGTGTACAAACCTAACAGCAACAGGCACGCAGCGTGTAGTAAGACTTGAACAGCGATCAAATATGGTGATGAACTTCAAGAAAGACGTCGGCATATGTTTCTATTTCGAGTCCATCAGTTTTCGTGGAGAAAGACGTAATTTGACGTTTAAACTCCTAAAACATGACATAGTTGTAACGGTCGTTCGTGGACGACTCCCTAATGTTATAGTATCCGATGCCGGTACTCACGAATACTCGGTTATGTTGTTGTCGTCGCCGTAAGCGCCGGACAGGAGCGCGGTGAAGCGGATCTCCGTTCCCACTTCGATCTCGCACGGGATGAAGCAGTATCCTTTGACCTTGCCCCTCAACCTGGCGATAGGAGCCCTCAACACCTGCGGCGTCCACAGCAGTAGCCGACGTATCCAGTCAGACGTTCGGGTCCTAAAGAGTCTCGAAGGAGCAAAGTCTTCTTGTTTTGCTTATTATGTGAAGAACATAAAGCACACGGAATGCAGGGACTCGCTTGGGCAGACAAAGGAGGGTAACAGCACCATCAAGTCCTTCAAGGTGGAGATCTGTACTCGAAGCCGCACAGGCTCACCTCACTTGTCGGAGATACTGTTTCGCCAACTGGAGACGGCGTTGGTTCATCTTCTACCGGGGATGCGGTTCCTTGGGCATCAGCATCAGTATTGTCATCAAGGGATGGTTGGTCTGTCTCGGTGCCATCCGTTTCATTGCCGTCATCACTTTCGGCTGTCGAAGCTGTCGGAGCCGGAGAAAAAGACGAAAACGAGGTTTCCAGCGCGTCGAGGTTTACCGGCTAGAGGTCCGGGGGGAGGGGAGACGGAAGGGGGAGGGGGGGGGGGCGTGCATTGCCAGCGTTAGAGCGGGGCGTCACTTCGGAACGGAGAATGGGGGCAGATCTATCGGTGCCGATTAAGAATCACATGGAGAGGACCCTTCGATGGTCTGTCCGCCTTTCGCGTATAGTATGAAACGCACACGTCGCAAAACCGTTGCTTGTGTTAGAGAGAAGGCAGAAGATACGTCGTATCTGCAGTTAGTGCCTGGTTTCGATCAAGAGAAACCCGCACTTTCTACACCGAAGTGAGCGCTGAATCTAGACGTTTACGTAGTGTGGCGGGATATGTGGCCAAGAAAAATGAATATATTCCACGGTGTTCCAGCACCGTCATCTGTGGTTTGTCCGACAAAAGTAGAGCGCATACAAACAGATGTAGTTGATCTGCACCGGGGCACGTTTCACTCCGCCTCACGACCGAAGATGCGCTACGACCCCCGCGCCCTCCTTCTCATTGGGGAGACGCACTCTATCCACTCACTTCAATCCTCACAAGCTTGGAGAGCGCGAAGTTGGTGCCGTACAGGTAGCCATCACCACCATCCACCTGAAGTTAACATCCCGTGTTGTTGGTTCGATATATATATTGCGGAAGCATGGGTTCTTTCGTTGGTACTGATGGATAATCCCGACATGATGTGCGAACAAGTTTGAAGACAGTATGTACTGGTGAGAGTCCGACCTGTCAGTTTTACCGTCTACCCTAAGGCATTGCATACCTCCGGACATGTGCGGCAAACTCTGGACTGCAATGTTGAATGCGCATTTATTTCTAAGCCATGTGAACTTACCAAATCTGCAAACTCTGCCCCGAATCCCTCTGCGATTATGTGTGGCTTGGCCAGATCAGGGCTTCCATCGGAGTCTGCGTCGAAGAACCACAAGCACTTCCTGGTATAATCCGCCGCGTAGAGTCTTCCTTCGAAGAACGCTATCGCAGAAATAGAGCTTCCGATAACTTGTTTCGCGTGAACGTTACGGACATGAACGGGGAGAGGTAGGAGGGGAAATTTGGGCACACACAGCAACAGAGAACTGCGCATCCGTTGTAGATGCAAAGGGACACCTCTCTGCAAGGCTTGGTAGAGTTTGTGTGTCCAGTACATGACCACGAGCTACACGGTCGAACTGTGCGAGCAAAGGATGACGACACCGCTGAAACAAGCAACAGCATTGAGTACAGTATTCCAACAACACCAACAGGAACATCACCCGATCACGTAGACCTTTACCCACCGTCACAGCGATCTTCTTGGCCGTCATACGTGGTGAGCGAGCCGGCATGGTCATACTGAAACGATGGGGGTACGTACGCGGGATCGCACAAGTCGACATCCCCCAAGGCCTCTGCCGTGCACGCAAATATGGCTTTGCAGATGTCGCAATTGTTGTTGTCGTCGTTCACGTCGCATGACTGCTTGTTGAGGTGCAGCAGGAAGAGGGGGGAACCACGGGTTACGGGGAAGGAAGAAGTCGTGAGGAGGTGTACAAGGTTGGGACGTGGTTGTTAGTCAAATTGTCAAGCGATTGACTAAAGTTGTCCCTCAAACCTCAGAGCACGTCGCGGTGGAAGAGGGATGCCTCGTCGAGGAAACCAGATTTTGAGGGCAAGACCAAGACGGTAGGGAACGAGAAGAAGAGTCTCGAGCGAACGTCATAAGCAACTCCATCTTCACAACCGTACCTGCGTAATCCAGTTGTAGGTAGGAAGAGGGATGCCACCGCCCTCCACGCAAGGCCATCCCAAGTTGGCAGGCAGTGAGCTCGCCGCCGCGTCGAGAGGGTTCCGCAAGATGTTTATCTCCTGATTCGTTGGGTTTGATACGAACCAGGCCGAATGAGATATATTTCTTAAATCTGGAGGTAGGTAGTTGCAAAGTTCAAACCTACGATAGCAGCTGTGCTGAAATAGTTTGGGGCAGCTTCGCTAAAGCCAGGAGTTATATCAAATCTGGAAATACTTTCAACTCTGTTGCCACCAAAACTTCCGACGTGAACACCCTCGGTGTCGTCGTCCGAGTCCCCCCAGCCCGAGCTTGGACAGCATCTAGTGCCTATGTCGCAGTTGTGAACAATATTTCCACAGAACAAGATATTTTGTGTACGTGAATACACGAAACATTGTGCGGACATACCTCTGCCGTGCTGTCCCCGACATCCCCAAGGTAAATGTCCCCTGTTTGTCTATCAATGTCCAGCCGGAACGGATTGCGGAGCCCCTTGGCCCACACGTCATAGTCTAATTCTGTCAACGGGAGATCCTCGCTGTCGTACATGGTAGCTTCCGCGTGGATCCTGATAAGGTGCCCCTGGTGAATTCCGTGGGGGAAAAAAACGGCACACTGATCAAAGGGTGGCCACGACGGCGATTTGATTGTTTGGCTATTAACGAAAATGCGAGTCGGTGCATGAATACCAAACAATGATAAGCACCGCGGTGTACTGCCGTGTGGGTCTGTAGTACGCCGAGCAGGGCAAAAGAGGGTTTGAAGAAAGTGGAAGTTGAAGGAGGAAGACAAGAGGGAAAATGACAGCGGTCACCTGCAGGAATGCTTCGTTCTGGGCCTTGAAGTACCCCTGCGGCTGCTTCTCGTCATCCAGATAGCACAGATCAACGGGTGTTCCATCTTCTGCAGGGTAACCTGAGGTACGGAATCCGAGCGTTATCAGCGAAGCGCGCACGGAGGGATGCAGCGTTCAGGGCCGAGTTGGAGACGATGACGTCTTTCTAGATCTCGTCGAACCAGCTTAGATAGAGATACCAGAACATTGATAAACGGTGAGAAACAACAAACTTGGTGTTCTCCTAGTGTGTCGGTCTATCGAGGAAGTGCTGTTACATTTTGTTGACGACGTTGGTGTCATTTGGCCGTTGCGGTTTCGACGATTTCCATGGAACGAATCGGCGAGGTGCGATATGACTGAGATACTCGACATCATCGTCAATATCAACCAACCTGTTTCCGTTCCCGAAAGAAGTAAATATCGATTTCAGGGGGCACACCGATGCAGGCAAGAGAGAGACGTACGGTAACGGTAGAACCCCATCATTGTTCTTTCTTCGGAGGACCAAACACAAGCCGGACCAGACAAAGCAAAACATCAAGTCAGATCCGAAAATGACTGTGAGCGAGAGTTCGTTTGTGGTCAGGATTCCGTTGACAGGGGCCACCACCCCTTCATCGAAAATTGTGAGAGGGATAAATAGTGGTGAGGCATGGTGGAAGGTGTTGACGTCTGTCTCTGTTGGGCTTTTTGCCCAACATCGACGAGAGGATTGCCACTATGTCTTGCCCAGCTTGTCACCGAAGTCAATCCATCGGGGTGTTGGAAGCATGGTTCCGCAGAAGCGTCTTCGCAAGCATGGATGCTTCACTCTCATGCTGAAACCACAACGCAACGAGAAAACGACGGCTCATCCTAGTCTGCAAAAAACAGGATACAACCCTTCCAGATGGGACGAAAAACAAAGACACATATTTATGCTGGACGACGAAAGAAGAGCAACACGGACGAGAAAATGGATTACACAACTTCATATAATGTTGCTACATTCACCTCTGTCGAAGGGGGCCTGCGAGCTATCTCCGTTGGCAACCAGAAGGGATCCGTCCGTGTAGAACTCCATCGCTGCGTTGTGGTGCGCGCCTGCCGAGGAGCACCAGTCTTCCATGAGCCGCACCCGGTTATTTTCGGAGTCAGAGAACGACCAGTCGCTGCACATGCCGTCATCATCGACGGTTACGTCGATCTTTAGACGCTCCAACACCGCGTTCTGCTCGCAGAAGGGCAGTCCTTTGACGATGCGTTCGCACTCGCCCGCCCTGCCATTGTAGAAGTCATAGTGTGTTGTGTTTTCGCTGCAGGCGTCTTGGTCACGGGCGAGTGATTGTTGTCTGACAGCACTCGAAAAGCGTAGGAGACTTAGAAAGAGATTAATTGTTCCACGTGTGGGCAAGCAAGCGCATCAGAAGAAGGCAATAGCTACTTTTATCGTCGATATCGTGGTTTGGTAGTAGTGCAAACCAGTCAAACAGAAACGTACGTTGGGTGTTGGCACACGCCCGCGCTCCCAACTATGCTTGAATCCAGCACGGAATCAGCGAAGGAACAAGGAGACTCTAGGCTACTTTTCTGTTTGACCGCATTATTACAAGACAACACCCACGCATCAATACTACCTCAAAAGCAACAGCAGCGGTACCACCACCACCACCACCACCATCACCACGGCAACAGAAACCTCCTCCCGCTCACCATCCTTCGGGTGCGACAGAGTAAAAGAGGAACAGGTAGGGCTCTGCTGGGAAATCTGGGTGTAGCTGCGAGCTCAAAAGCCCGTGATCCTGTGCACAGTGGAAATGAGGGTAAACAGTGGTATCGAGCAACAACTCGTTATTGTAAGTGGTTATCCTCAAACTGTCCACTCGACGAAGCAAGACCGAAGGAGATGACGACAGAAATTATTGGACAGCATAACGGTGGGTTTCAGATCACATCATCAGCACATTCTAGGTCAAGGGGCTCACCCCCCACGCGTTGACGTCGTCCTTGATATCCACAAAGATCTCCCACGACCCGTGCGTGTGAGCTGATTCAGGAGCAGGGTAGATCTTCACATGCCCCGCTTTCCCTGAGAAAAAAGCAGTGTAATGGAGCAACTAGTGTAGAGCATGGGTATGAGCATCGTATGAGCGCTGTATGAGCGTTGTATGAGCGCCTAATGGATACCAGTATATATTTTGAATTTTCGTTAAATATGGATATTTGGCGTCGTTGTGGGGTATTGACGTTAGGTTGACGAAGATCAAAATCCCAGCCCCGCTACCGCATTCTCCGAGTGAGCGCTGAGCGGACCTGGTCCAAGAAGGCTAAAACAAGAGATCAAACAACAACTGAGAGTACCCGAAGCTGGAGCAACGGGTTTGCTTCCTTCCCTTTATTTACTTTTTATTTCTTTGTTCCTCCATAACGCTCCATTCTCTTTTCTATATTTTTTCCTCCCTGACATTGTGGCGTCGTCTGCGGGACAGCGTTATTGGTTTTATTGCAGCTACGTCCACCAGCGTTTCAGTGCTCCCAGCGCCTGCCTGGGTTTACTTATCTTCAGGCGAACTGCCGTCCAGACAGGGTCAACAGTGACAACTTGCGTTGCCTTCACCCATCAACTCCGTTGTGTCTACAGCTAGATACGTTAGTTAGTGTTTTGAAGGTTGTAGAGCAATTAAGACATGCTTGTTCGAGTGGTAACACTGATAGCGCGGCTACCAAAGCTTTGACCCCTTACCGAACACAAGCACATGGTCCGAGCACGGAGATAGTATCGTCTGCGTTGGTCCGCCGCTCACGTGCATGTGCGAGTAAACTTGGCTAAGCGTGAATCTGCGCAGCGATTTGAAAGCGAGAACGGCCGACGGGGTGTGTCAAGCTGACGTATTCGAACGAGTTGAGATCTTCCCCTCAACAGTCCACAGCGTCCTCGCTGGCTGCAGAGGGCAATGCCGATAGTAAATCTTAATAAAACTACTTACCACATACGACAGCACGGTGGTGCACGGACTGAAGGGGATCTCAACGGTATAGCTTGTGACCTGAGGACGATTCTCGTAGCTTTGTGTGGGCCACATCTGGAACAACAGCGCGGCGAGGTGACGGCTTACTGTTGGCCTCTTCATGCCCGGCAATACCCGTGGCAGTGAGGAAAGAAGACGGCACCCTGGGGAAAACAAAACAGCCCACAACAGAGATAATCGACGCTTTGAGCGAACAACGACGTGGGTACCGGTCAACCGGGAGCGTTCCGTAGCGAACGATCGATCGTGTCCACTAGGGTTTGTCTGAAGCACGGCTTTGAATCGACGAGCGCAACGTTGAGCGTTGAGCAATAGTTCACGATGCACCCGTCACCAAAGAAAGGAAGGTTCAGCCTTGACCACGAGAACATAGATTGTCACAGCGACCAAAACCTTTGCTTGCGAAACTTTTGTCGAAAACAATGAAAAATGCTTACTCACGTAAGATACACACACTTGCTACGTAGACGACATGCAGTATCCTTTGCATAATCAAGAAAAAAACTAACACCAACTCTACTACTGTACGTATCGTCAGGCACACAGCACGCACCACCGGCCACAAACCCGGCGCCAACAAGGCACACGTATAAAACATGGTTCGTTGCTTACACAGAGTAGCAACGGCGCACCTGTCATCAACAACTGACGGGAGGTCGTCGTTGTCTTGTCCTAGAGACCCGGCAACGAGGAGCCCAAAAAAGGCAAAAAGAGCCTCCGGGGCGTGCTTCATGCTGGTTGGCGAGAAAAGCTTGGCCGATGGAGATCGTGGAGGTCACTGTTGACGTACGCACGGGTATATCCGTAACTCGTCTTCTTCAGCTCCAGCGGGAACTGGGGCAAGGAAACAGAGTTCCTCTCGGTGAGTAATGTTCACAAAGAGGCCTCCTACATAAACCAAATACGGCTGGCTGTAGTATTCGATCTCGGAACTCTTTTCGGTGTTGTTGTGAACAATAATAGAGAAGCCCAGCCCGGACGTTTTCCTCCCACAAACTACAACGCAGTCTTGTTAGTTGTTAATTAATACGTTTGTTCGTACCGCCGGATGCGTAACGTGCAGAGAAGAGGAGCTGTACAAACAGGAAGGAAGCGGTTTGATAAAACCAGACAGACATCCTCTGTGTGTTGCGCGGGGCCGCAGGCAACAGAGTAAGATCGATCCAAAACGACTCGGGATGTTCGACCAGTGGCATTACAGCTGAGCTGCTATCGTATGTGTCTAAAGACCCATGCTCTCCCTCCCGTCAATCCTATGCTTCTGTCCCAAATCCACGACGGGAAGTCCAACTCAGTTGGTGCTGTATCTCTTGCAAAGCACGTACGTTTGATCTCACTTTTCCAGGTACAGAGAGCAAAGCAGTCGACCACAGCTGCAGCTGGATTGTTTTTTCTCGACACGAATGCACGGCCGGAGCATGCGGCTGGAAGCACGTATGTGTAACTATCTTGTATTACACGCTGTACAGTTCGAGAAAAGATATTTCCTTTGAAGATCGCGAACAAATTGTGTGTGTGATCTCCGTCATCTCCGACGGAAGAACGACGTGTTGCAGAGCAGAGCGAGGTATGCTGCCGCAGCTGTTTCTATCCCACGGAGCCCCGTGAAGAACGAGTGAAGTGAACCACACCGCACACGCATCGCAGCGTCGTCGACAGGGAGACAACCAGAGGCGGAAAGAGAAACAGGCAGAAGCAGAGGAGAGACGCTACCACCACGTTGACCCTTACTGTCGAAGGAAGGAGGATTGATTACAAACACCCCGATATTTGCGGGGTAAGAGTCAAGAGACACGCGAACAGACACGTGGTGTTTCATATGCCGGACGTCGTCAAGCCCGGGCCGCCTAGCAATGGTGGGGATGCTGACGGTGGGGGTGAGGACGAGCAGGAGAATGGAGCTGTGACAATGGATTTGATGGGATCTGGACGCGACTTTCCTCTTCAGGTACGTGAGCTGGAAAGCTTGCTCGGAGTTCCAGCTATCTGCTGGTGTTCTATCTTCCTGGCAGTCATGTTGAGGCTCTTGGATGTGTAGTCTGCTCAACAGCAGTCACTAGTGCGTACAAGTACGAACGTGCGTACTTTAGTCTGCGTAGGACACTTGACCTGCACCTAACGCGTCTTTGGTGAAACAATGGAGCAAACGGAAGTTGGCGTGTACCCCTGGAAGGTTGTGAACAAACCTACTGTCTGTACTGCTGTGCGATTTATCTTGGTTTGAGATACTGCACTCCGGAGTACACCATGTGGTTGCAAAGTGGTTGTAGATGAGGAGCGCGACATGGTCGGGATACGGACGCGGAGAGAGAACGCATGCTTGGCCACGGAAATTCAAACGGGAGGATGCCCTGAGGGTAGGTCTTAACGAAGAAATCAGATCTCGAAATCACATTTCGATATAAGAATACAAGAGTCGGATCTACCCAGATCCGGACAGAAATGGCCTGTGTGTCTTAACGGCAGATCTGCCAAGTGGAAACGAGTCTCTGCAGTCCACCGTGAACAACCCGAGAGGTCCGCCGCTTGCCAACCACTAGATTACTGTTGTGACGTGCTGTTGTGACGTGGCCACACCACATGGGTAGCTATCGCTCCCGAGAAGCACACACCAACGCGTACATGGCCTCTGTGCGGTACTGCTGACACGATGTCTGTGCATGTGAGACTTTGAATCGAGCCTCGTCCGACGGAAAGCCACCAATTCATCTGTGCATTTGATGTTCGACAACCCACGGGACATTGCCCCACAGAGCAACACACCCTACACACGTTTTTTTTCGGCGCCAGTCACGTGCAACAACGATGCGCAGTTGCCCTCCCTTTGGGTTGGCTTTTTATGCTCTCTCTCTCCTCTGTGCTCGGCGGTGGATGGAGTTCGTGTGGATGGGGCTAGGTGGGCACGCGCCGTGCATGCGAGTAGACCGCTAATATTCGAACTTGGTTGCGGTTCACCCAAATCGAGATCCGATTAAATGATTTCACCTTTTTTCAAATCCCGATTTGGTATTTGGTGTTGGGCCGTCCTGTTTTAAGTCCTAAAGAGGAGACCGGCGGAAGAACTTTGTGCCCAATCAAAAACAGAGTCCTTTGCATCTTCCGGTCTTCCAACCAAATCTGAATGTGATTTCGAGGTCTGATTCCTGCGTTGAGACCGGCCCTGACAGGGCGACAGTTCCATCCATCACCACGAACAAGGCTTTCTGTAGGTGGTGGCTATTCTGTCTGGCAAATGTCCAACGAATCAGTACATGACTTGAACAAGATTAAGGTTACGCAGGCTGGCAAGTGTACCGGGACAAAGGTTTTAGACTTTAATTTCGCGGGCGAAGCCCGCTATTTAATTATACATGTGTGAAACCCAATTACCTGCGGGGGGCACGCTTTCACAATGTTGGGCATCTCCGAATAAATGAACGAAAGGAGATATCAGAACAGAGGTGTCGTCACCGCGACAGCAAAGCAAGAAATCACCGTGCAATTATGTATGCTGCTAGTGCGGGTCGTCAACATACAAACGAGATGATGATGGGGCGTTCGTTCCAAAGATCCCAGATGGAGTCAAGAGAGCGAAGAAGAAGGAAGATAATAGTCAAGAGATAGATTGGATGCAGAGATGCCACAGCATCATCATCATCATGTTACTTGAAGTTGTCTGGCGAGAGGACGGGCGTGCAGACGTGTAGACGATGTACAAACATACGCGCATCCCTGGGCGTCGGTTTTACTGCTGTAGCTCGACATAATTATGCGCGCGTACGTGTGTGGGTGATCTCCCTCCTCGCTGTTTCCAAGCTTTTTAGAAAGTTAACATAGCCTCACAGAAAGACTACCCGTTCGAGATACAACCTCAGTCGAAAGGGATGGGTTGAAGCCTTTTCAGTAAGTGGATTGAAACCGACTGGAAACTGGACCTATTTTTAGTTTGTGTAAGCCTATACACTGAGTTATATCAATCAGTGATGCCAATTGGCGCCAAGAACAAAATCATCTTTAAAGGTAGATACATTCTTAACACATTCCCTGTAATTCGCTGCTGGGTCGACGACAGAACTATCGGGGAGAAGCTCTCCGTTATGTCGTGTGTTAAAGAGTGTGGCCTTCACAGGGAACACGGCGCAGTGTCGTTTGACAACTTGCTGTTTGACTATTTGAATGTAGCTACAGTACAGCAGCTTCTTCTTCTTGGTGCTGCTGCTGCGTGCTCGTTATCGACACTCAAGTGTGGGTTGACGTTGCGAAACTTCGTACACACAGAGACCCGAGGTCTCTGCTGGGTCTATCCTGCTGTGGGCGTGTGGTATGCGCCAGTTGCCGCTCCCAGGCTCCCGGCTGGTGTGTTTTGGTCTGTGAGCTGGTTGTTCGAACGCGGTGCCCACAAGAAAGCGGAGCAATTGCCAATATTCCTCGAAAAAAGACAAGACGCCAAGTAGGCGCCAAGTTAAAAGGAGACAGCTGATTGGCCGGCGCCAAGTTAAATCTGTCCCGGTGGCTTTTTTTGCCACCGCAAGGCTCCTCAAAAAAAAAAAGCGTTGTAAAAAGGGGATGACGTTTCGCAGAACCAAACAAAACGACTTGAATTTTAGTGAGGGATTTGCACAAAAGCGCTAAGCTTTATACGGGGGGGCGAAAAAAGACCGTAAAAGCATCGTAACGCTTTGCGCCCGAAAAGTTGAAATGGGAACACCCGGTACAGCTAATTCAATCCGTTTGTTGATCGGGCATACACACATAGAGAACGGCGGCGGGGCGTCAACGGACCCAAAAGATCCGCCATTGTGGCCAAATTTCGGGCTGCTGGATGCAACTACATAGAGCAGTTCACAAGGGCACCTCTAGAATCGTTTCTGGTTGTCTGCTGCTGCTGTCAAGTCATGCGACGCAACTCACACCATATTGGTAGGATCTGGCAGTTTCGAGTAGTGTGGTCGCTGGGCGTGCTGTAGCTGTCGGTAACGGAAGCACACTTTGCTGCGCTGTTTCAATAAACATTTCGGCGGGAAGATTGTGCTCAAATCGTAAAACTGCCAGCACCTCGATCTCTCGCTACAAGGCTTAAAACTGATAAGCGGAACATTTTTGATCGACGGGGTTGCTCAAGCTGGTATGACTTCTCCAACAATATATAGAGGTTCGTGTCTCCTGGGGCTAAGCGCCGGAGGGGACAAATGAGATTTTACAGCAGTCGGCGGGGGCACCGCCCGAGATTTTTTATCTAGCAGTTTGACCTGTGAGAAAAAAAAATGGTTGGGGAAAAAACACCATCGCGGAGTCACGGGGTACTAGGGACGACGAAGAGCCTGGCGTAGCCTTAGGCGTGACATGATCGATGACAGACGTAGGTCGGAGATAATTCGGAGTGAGGGTCAATCAGATACATGGGGACCTCGTTCTGCAGTTGCAAGTTGTGCTGGAGTGGCCGCGCGGCAGAAGCACCGCGGCGTACAACATTTCAATTAAGAGCATTCCGGCGCGGACAGAATCTTCGATCCTTGCGGTAGGTACTAGCGGGGGCAGCAAGGTCTCAGTTCTCAGCATGGTCTCTGCTGCGGATTGAATGAAGCCTACGATGGCCGCAGCTCTTCCTTGCTAGTGCAGCGCTCAATCACCTGGCCCTCGCTGTACCAAATATCGATCGACTCTTCGTTTCTCTATCTGACGTTCAGAACAATCACCCGCCAGCCGCAGCTGGATGTTTTTAACCTTCTTGGGTCGCCCCCCGTGTCTGGCCCACAACCTTGCCACCTCGTCCTCCCTCTTGTCAGGTCCTGATCCTGGTTTTGGTGCTGTTGGGGTGGCTGCACGCAAACGGACTTCCGCTCTGCCACTGCTGAGACCTCCCCACCGATAATTTACTGCCCCCGTTGCACCGTGGGAAGAGCGAGCTATCTGCCACAAGCTGGTGTCTGCACGTTTTTATAACAAGCGGTGTGCTGTTTCCGTATGGCTTTGTGTGTTGTTTGCAACATGTGTTTCTGAACACAAGATCGGGACGGCTTTGTAGTTCCCGTGGGCAACGTGTTTTTGTTTGGTGTTTGTCAAGTGTTTTTGGAGCCAGGGAAAAAAACGTTCGTATATACCGCTGCCGTAGCTTGCGCTCCATGCCAGGCCTGTCGCGCGGTCGATTGTAATGAATGCCAGTGGCAAAGATCGACGCGGCTGGGTGTAGATGGTGCTGTCTTTTTTTCATGTTGAAATGCTTTGGTCACTATCGGTGTGTTGCCATAGGCTGACTGGATTGTTTTCCTCTACGCCGTATGCATACGAATTTCGCTTACCTTGTTTTTCTTGTTTGTATAGAAAATGTAAGAATTTTTTTTGCTGACAATAGATGTTGTACTCCACAGAGCTGAGGCGATAACATGTCATGTCCGGCAGAGAGCATGCGTTGGTTTGGGAACCCCTTGGACACAAGCATGCTTTGGCGACCGAGGGCTTAGAAGTACTCGTGTTGGCTGCGGTGAACTCTCCCAAAACAGTCCATCTCTCTACGGTGGCGACTAGAATCCAAGTTTAATACGCATTTGCTTTTTTTTATAACAGCACAATCTATTGAGAACGATCCCTTTTACCCATTGCTTGCGACCGCGTCAAATTGTGCGGGCCGATCAAATCGCCCGCAGTATTCAGCCGTGTGCATGAGCCACACTTCAGCCGTGTGCATAAGCTACACTGCTGATTGACAAACGCGTGACATCAGTCAATATTTCGATAAAAAAACAAACCAC